TTCCATTTGTCGTGTTTGTATTAACTTACACATGAGATGGGTTTTGGATGCAGCCATTTTCTAGATTATTAATTTTACTTTTAATTTCAACAATACTATCTATACAACCCTCATACTGTGTTTGTAAATCTGCTAAATACCTACAAAAAAACATATTACACTTTCTTTTGATTTTAGTAACGGTACAATAATAATCATTTACTCATCCACTAACTTCAAAGGGTTAGCTAGAACCAACCATGTGATCGATATAATAGGAAACCACATACTAGGGACTTCAAAGTACAATGGAAGCTTTCTACAGGCCCCTGGATCCATTCCTTTTTTGTTTCTTTTGAAAGTTTTGTTAAATACTGTACTTTGGTTTTACAATGCTTATGTTTTATTACCTAATACAAACGTTCTTTCTATATTTACTTACTTTATTTTATAATTCATTTCAGTATGTAGACTTTTATTTTCCTCCTGTAAATTTTTGTTGTTCTCCTCTAATTTCTTTAGGTAATTCATCATTTCATCTTTATTTTTAAATGTGGCTGAATTTCCTGAATAAAAAAAATAATACCTCCAGATTGTCATAGTATGATCATAATTCCAACACCAATATTGATATAAATTATGGTGAGTTCAACTTTCAAGTAAGCATATTGGGACTGTCTTGACAATATAATTCAAAGGAATACATCAAATTCTGAAAATTACCTTCTACTTTCGGTGGAGTTACTTCAAATCCTGAATCGTCAAATACATTGCTGGTTGTTTTAGATGCTGATGGCTCTGGTTTTATTTTTGGTGGTAAAGCCAAAGGAAGAGACGAAGGCCATGACACTATTGGTGACCCTAATGTTGATCCTAAAAAATGTCAATTTATATCAGGAGAGAACCACATAATCTCTCACACCTAAAAAGACTTTGTTTTAAAATTAAAAAAACAAAAAGTTTAATATCTTTAATATAAACCTTTTTTTATTTCTTGTGAGGAATTACCTAGATACAAAAGGTTACCTTTAGGTGATGTCAGTGAAGTAACTGGAGAATTTTCGTGTGATCTTTCAACTATAGAGGGCAGGATACCAAAATTGTCCGGAAACAATTTTCTCTTGTGACGACATGAGTCATATTTTTTCTTTCTATAACCTGAAAAAAAATGCCTATGTGACATGCCTAAAAATTATGCCTCATTGCCTACTAATTATTAATAATTCTCTCAAAGTTCTCTCTTCCTACCCTTCGCCATACCTCATAGTAGCTGATCATTTAAGAATGATGTCTAGACTAGGCCTATTTCGCCTGAACTCAGTCATAGAGACCAACAAAGTACCCTACCGGTATTCCAAAGCTCCACATTGAGTTCTGAATTGAATTTTTTCTCCCATGTCACAAATATTAAAAATCTGTAAAATCATACTATGATTCATAGGCTAATTTTGTTTTCAATGGTTTGCATTTTCATCAACCCTAAGACAATCTACGACTCTCAGCAATATTTGGAGATTAATATTTCAATTCATTCAAAAATGATAGTCAAAATGTGATTTAGAACTTGATGTGGCCAGAGAGTAGGAAAATCCTAAGCCTTCTAATTATTATTGATATACTAGGCTACTATAAAGACTACGCCTAACGTCAACAACGACTAGCTTGCTGCCTAGCCAGTCACACTCACACAACCACATTTTCATACTTACGTTTTTTCGATGGCATGTCTATTGCCTCTTCTAGCCTCTAGGTTAGAGATTTAGCCTAATGCCTGAAAATTTGTAGGTTTTGTGGAATGCTCAAATAGAGATTGGCGCCAGATAGAGACGTCGTGTTCTCTGTAAACAGTAAACAATCGCACGTATGGTATCTAGGCACCAACGCTAGGGAAGTGACGTCATGGCTTGAATCAGGGGAGGGAACTGAGTTGGGCATATTACTGTATGATGTCTTGTTCAAATTGTATTCTTAGCTTAGTGAGGAAATTTGTTGGGCTGAACAAACTCTATTTTGAAATTATTCGATCATTTCTCGTAATATGTTCATGGGGAAATTTGTGGTGCCTTTTAACAATGTCACCAGTGTTTTTTTTTTTTTCTTGAAAGAAATATGAAATTTCCCGTTTACGCTGAAAAACGAAAGCATTTTCGTAAATATTTTCGTTTTAGGTATAGGCCTAGACTTGTACCGAATTTGTACCGGTTTTCGGGGAAATCGATCTAAATTACCATTGAAAAGATGACAATGAATGGACATATAGGCCTAACTCTTCTCAATACATGTAGCCTACATATTTCCAAGAATATTATATCACAGGGTTATATTAGGCTATATTCCCAAAATGGCATTTTGAATGAACCAGGAATCGATAGTTTGAATCTTGGAATATAGATTAACTATAGTCAATCTATACTCCTTGGTTTGAAAACTCTAGGAGATAACATTGTCATTAAAAATATATATGGTAAAGATGATGAATATGATAAGCAATCGATTTTTTTTCCTTACGGATTCGTTTTCGTCTTCGTTTCGGCGTAAGTGGGAAATTAATTTAGCAATCATGTTATTGTATTGTAGCCTACTTCACAAACATGTGGGTTTGGCAATTTTTCCCTCTTAATCTTTACGAAATATAGCCTCCTTTATTCGATGATGAAAATTAAGACTTTACAAAGGTAATTTTAGTCCAGCATTTCTATTCAAAATTCTTTCAACCAGCCATTCTGAAATGTTGGTGGATCTTTTCCTTTAATAATTTATCAACTTTCAAATAATTGATGAGAAGGTGACAGTTTTAAACCATCAGAAACTCAAAGAAGATTTTTGGCGGGAAGAGTTGCGCACGTGGATGTACAATTTTGGCTGCTGATTGGCTGAAATTCAAATTGTCAGTCTAAAAGTGGGAGGAGTTGTAATTAAAATTATCGTTTGCATGTGCCGATAGAAAAATTTGCATTTCTTAGCGGGATTTCGATCAGTGCAAAATCTGTGTGACTTATTCTGATATAATTGATAAATTCTGTTTTATTCTGGGTGGTTTTGGATTATTTAGATGTATTCAGTGTAATATCTGTAGAAATGCAATATTTTGCGAACCATAACCGCATTTGTCGGGCAGCTACTTTGGATGGGGTACCATATTTGTTGGATATAATTCAAATAGATGGACGGGGCCACTCTTACTTGGAGTATGTCACATTGTTCATAGCCACGCATTTGTGTATGGCCACTTTTGCATAAACTACAGTTGTTCGATATTCATATTTGATGGATAAACATACATAGAATCTATCATAACCACATTTCTTTTTCTTTTTTGGGGAAAAACAAAGTAATGTCTTAATAAATTAATTAATGAATTATAGACAGCATTATAATAAATTAGCTCACTAGAATTACTGTACGCGTAAAAAAAAATAGATATTGTGATTTGACCAAAGTAAAGCGCTTTTAAAATATTTGATCCCGAATTTGTGTACGACCTTTGCTGGAAATTAAGTATCGGTAGAGGCCCGTGGAAGTGACCTGGGATGGGACCCCTTTCCCTGGATTATTTTTTACCTTGGCCATTGTAATAACTATATTTAAAAGTACCTCTACAATAATAGGCTAAATGTAATACTTTTTAGCATTTCGAGAAATAACAGAATATGTATTTTTATATAAGGTACATTATATTTTTATCAATTTATGATATTAAGTTTAAGGCTGACCGGCCTGGGCTTGAAGAGCATACAAAACTGTCAATAGCTGAAATAGAAAATAAAGCAAAGTTTTTAATTAGTTCAAATCAAATTATACACTTGCAAATTCAATTTAACCCAGCATTATAAAGTATGAATTTTTAAGTCTACCATTCTGGTGAAAAGAATGTACCTTATCTCGTATAATGAAAAAGTATGTCGTTCTAAAACCTATGACGGATTTCAATCTGAAAAGTATTATACATCCGAAAAGCAAGTTCATAAAAATGCAAGTGCAATAGCAAAAATATAACACGTTTATTGAGGACTCACGAATATAAGTTTATACCGATTATAAGTTGCCCAATTAAGTCAGCGAAAGGTTAAGCCGACCAGAGCGATGACAACTTTAATTCTTTAGGTTTGAAAATTACACTGACCTACCTGTACTTGATAAGCAACAAATTCAGCATGATCGACCTTGCCATCTTCTGTAAAAGATAGTTTGGATTTTAGGCATTCAAGTAAATGTATAAGGTAATAATCAGTAAATACTTTCAGATCTCCATGAGAGATGTGATAATGAGGCTCAAGCTGTTAGATTGATTCCAAGAGGAAAACGACAAGATGGGCGAGATATCTTCAGTCAAATTCAGTCATGGGTATGAAATTAACATTTTGGTGGATCTTTTTCGTTAAGATTATCCACGTATATTTAGCTTAATTCTTTCCCTAGTTAGGATCATTACGTTCCAAACTTACTAATCATGTGATCCATTCTATCATGAACACCATCCAAATCTTTGGTATCAATAAAACCATCTTGGTTATCATCATACTCAGCGAATAAACCTTTAGCAACAATAGCTAATGTTGGTTCAGCCATATCAAATTTATATTCAAATTCGTCTCTAGTTACTTCATTGTCACCTGGATGAAACAAAAAAGGCGAATATAGCTGTTGAGCTGTTTTTATAAATACTTGCCCTTACATTAGAAGCTGATATTGGTTATCAACAAGAGTGGGAGATAAATAAATCTTGTCAGATCTCCGAGAATGTCACTGGCTAATACATCTTCGTCGATTTCACATCATTAATTCATGATTAGTAAAAAATGATCAAACTTAGACTATCGCTGTATGTTCTTAATAGCTAACATTATTTACCATTGATATCGTAATCGTGGATAAGAGTTTGTAAATCAGATCTGTCAAATTCACCATTTTTATTGTAGTCCATTGTGGTCCACAGATTTTCAGCTTCCTTCTGTACATGTTTTTGGAAAGCTTCCAAATCAGGATCTATTGGTGCTCTTAGAACATATGAATTTTTTCTGTCAAATTTCTTAATTTACAAGTCATAATAATATCAGTGCATGTTAATGATCATTAAAATTGTTTGAACGATTCCGATTGGTGATGGTACAATCGGATAGGACTAAACCTTTAAGGTCGACCCAGCTGTAAAAGGTACGCATAATCCTAGAAAGATCAATACCAAGAGGTTTGGTCAAGGACCAACTGGTGGAAAGAATCATTTACTGTGATCCCTAGATTTTTTCTAGTAAAATAGTTGTTTCTTTTCTTTCCCCCTTTAGATTTTATGCTAGTGATGAGATGTACTATTATTCATGCTGATAAACTATTTTGTTCCTTTTACACTAGTATTGCACTGATAATACTCATTTAGAATATAGAAACACCATAAAAAAAAATCTTAGTTGCCACGTAACATGTTTAAATGTGCCATCCAATGGCTGTTGTACAGCCGTGGATACCGCTCCCGGTGCCTTATCTTAAATTAATAGCAGCATATTACATAACTTACGCGAAAATGGCTGGTAAAAGGCAGAGAGCAAGAAAGATCATCATCTTTAGTCTATAAACAGAAAGAGATCATTAAAACAAAATATTGAATTAATTAAAATGATAAATGTTTCATATTCAAAATTCTAGTGCGATATTACAATGATATATTTTATTGTATGCAGTTTAAAATATCCCACTTATAAAATAGATTGGTACCAAGAAAAAAACCTAATATTTCAATTTGATAGGTTCAATCTTTCATACAGATCTATAGATGTTTATTTTTGTGGGTGTTTTTCCTGCAAGTTATTTTACACTTGTTTTCTGTGATCTGACGAGATCCATTTATGATCAGAGGTTGTCAACATTTGTTAAAATCAATGTTATAAGTGACAATACAGACACCACAAGTCAGTGTTTAACAATGGATCAAATAGGAAAGAACATAGCAAAGAACAGAATAGGGAATGCGTAATAATTTCGTCAGATTATGAATGACAAATGGCGAAAATAAAGGAAACGATGCAGCTAGACTTGCATTTTAATCAGACTGTATTGTATATTACGAAATATACGTAAATATTAAAAGCAAGTGCATGAGTGATCCACTTGATAAGCAATTTTGCCTAGAATAATTGTTCCATATGTATTGCAAACTACTGTACAAATTGAGGTTTTTATATTTTACACCTCAAATTCTTTCCAGAAAACGCCGAAATCGTTAATAAATATCAATATTTTGGTATAAAGCAATTTTCTCTTCTTCTATAGGATTTCGAGCGACAGACATATCAAATTATCTATGAATTGTCCTTACTTTTGAGATACACAGGTCTTACCTTTTCAGGTGGTCACCAAGAACTAAGATGAAAAAGGTCGTTACAATCTTATCATTTTATCCACGTCATTAATCTTATCTTTGGCACAGTCTATTTCTATAACAATTTCCATGAATAAACACGATTCAAAATAGGTTGGGCAAGTTGTATTTTTTCTGTTATCGTATATTGATCCACATGAAAATGTTGCCGTAAATGTATCCATGTTGTGTTTTTATATGTGGTTTCGTGCGGATTCAGCTTACAGTTTTGTCCATGACGATAACTCTGGAACCTTCGGTCTCATATCCATAAGGTCTGCATCAAAAACCGATGCAACGGGCAGTTGCGTATCTTCGGAGGTAGGATTGTCAGAAAACAGTCGTATTTTCCATTCTTGGTGAATGATATTTTCTTATGCACCATGTGTCCTGAACTGCAGCCAAGTGTGGCACAAACTAATTAGAATTAGATTACAAAATTATATTTGCAGATAAAGAAAGAAACAATATTGTTATCTTATTTTGAATAGATTGAGTGAGGCCACCTATAGGATCATGAGGCGCACGTGTTTATTTTTAGGATATATCTTCAATTCAAGATATATAGAATTGTTTAAAGAAATAATAAGGCTATGGCTTGACAATCTAAATTTGTGTCCATGTGATTGTATCGCTACGTTCTTTTTAAGATAAAAAAAATATGTCTAATCCTTTGTTTTCATCGTATTGTTTTACCAAGGGAATGCTTCTAGACTTTGGTACCCGTGGGGAAATATTTTTATGAGCCAACTTAAAAAATGGCCGCCATCTTCCTCGATATATTCCTAATACTATTTTTGCCATAGCTTCTTTATCAATCTCCCACATTACCAGAAAAGATGTTGTCAGACTGCAGGTGGTTAATTAACTAGTAGTAGCAGATGTCCTTAGCAGGCCTGTAGCTTCAGAGGGCAAAGACCACTTTGAAGTTGATCCAACATATTTTTTGAATTTTTGAGAGTCGAGGACAATCACTGAAAATCAGTTCGTCGAAATCTGAGATCACATCTATACACACTAGTTATTCAATATCACGACAAATGTGACATAACATTTTGTCCACGGTGTCTACCCAGTTTACCCATTCCCAATATTTCACATTACACCACATAAATTACTGTTTTTATGGCATCGTGTTCAAACCGCACTCCCATTGGTCATACTTTCTCCGGGTTAATAAAACCATGTCAAAACCGGTATTCGTGAAACGATGGCATTATGGTAGAGGCCACTATCGTACTACGACAGAATTCCAAGGCGACCAGGCTATTTTGCCTATTTCATGGACGCCTGGATTGGATTAATTGGAAATGAGATTTGAGAGGGGGGGGTCACGAAGTTTACTAAGCTTTTGAAGTATATCGAGGCAGGGACACTGATGGAGGTCCTTGCAACCCCCAAACTCAGCGTTTTATGAACAATTGTCATCTAAATATGATGACCACTTAAGTTTCTATAATGCATATATGTCAACATGTCCAAGGGGTGAATAAATTGAAAAGCAACAATAGTATATTTGATAATGATTTATTCCTTGTCTTCCTTATGTACCTTTCTGGAACCTCGTAATCTACCTGTTCTTCTAGCAGCAATCAAACCAACCTATAATACGAACACAATGTTTGTAAGTTTTACGTCTTATTTTATTGCACTATGAGGGCTAATGAAGACGGGTAACGCCATGCAAGGTGCAATTTTTTCAGGACAGAAGCATTAGCCTGCTCTTTCCCGATTTCCAACTGTCAAAGGATCTATAAAGAGCACGGCCTGTAGCACACAGGCCTCGGTTTGTCCCATCCGAACGACTCTACCTCAGCCCCTCTTACCTGCATCACTGACAGGGGGAAACAGGGTTGAATAATCCAAAGGAATAATCTCAACCTATCCCTGGATTGATAGCAAGTATCTAACAGAAGGCAAAATCTCATTATTTGTAATCAAGGTCAGTTGAGAATGCCTGAAGACTATTGAATAAGTAATTTTTGTAAAAAAGGTTGGCTCTCATCCCTTAATCAAGGAATCATTAATGTGTATGATTAATGGCACGGTATCTCTTTCCCATTAAAAGGTATCTCAATGAAATCTTTTTTAACAATTTTCACGATTTGAAACAATGCAATAGTGAAAATGTCTTAGAAGACCATCAGGTGTGAATTTGATAATACATACCTTTCTACCAGCTGGAATTTCACGTCTAACTGTTGATGGTTTACCAATATGTTGATGGTTACCACCACCATGAGGATGCTCAACAGGCTAGAAATTAAATACAGTTTTTATTTATTACACTCTTTCCATACTAAAACCATATAGAGTTGAGACAGATGACTGAGCATGCTCCATATAAAAAGTATGAATGGAAGTTTGAAAAAAATCCAACGATACTTTATGACTTGAACACAGAACATGTACACAATTTGTAGTTTTGTATCAAATTTAACATTGACCCACAACAAATCATAACCATAATTCTACAGATATAGAATAGTTCTAAAGGGAACTTGGCTTAACTTACGTTCATAGCAACACCTCTAGTTCTTGGCCAACTATTTCTTTTAGCTTTATATTTATGGTAAGCACGACCAGCTTTCAACATTGGTTTATCTATACGACCACCTCCAGCAACAATTCCTATAATATCAAAGATATTAGTTTGAAATTAAATGTGTCCTATTCAATCCTTTGCATGTACAATGAGTGAAAAAGTTCCAGAAGTAAATTCGCATATCATTGTAAATGTGCTAGACCAAAGTATAAATATTGTATATTTTAATCTAACCAGAGAGCTAATGATTGAATTTTTTCCATGTCACAAATATTCAAAATAAAATTTTCAATTAGATGCAATTGCAATATCATAGGGTCCATATTTATATATTAATATGTATTCAGTTAAAATTTCATCAGAGACTGCAGTATTTTCGAGTTGATATTTCAGTTTAAGTGTGGAGAACGCCGTTATATCTACTTACCAACCATAGCTCTACTGTTAGAATTAACAGTTTTCTTAGATCCAGATGGTAATTTTACTCGAGACTTGTTAGTATCAGGATTATGTGAAACTACAGTAGCATAGTTTCCTGATGCTTTAGCTAACTTTCCTCGATCTCCTGGTTTTTGTTCAACAGAACAGACAATTGTACCTTCAGGCATGCAGCCAACTGGAAGAACATTTCCGATCTGCAAATTTGCTGAAAAATAAAATGAAATATGAAAATAAATAATAATTTTCAGCTAGCTTTAGATAAAATTCACATGTAATTTGTGTAATGATATATGGCACCTCAAGGTTCAGCAATCTTATAACCTTCAGAAACCTGACAAGGAATTTTGGAAAACTTTCACCGAGGAATGACAACTATTACAAGGGGGATAATGTTTTTCATTCAATATAAAGTCTTAGACAGATCCAAATAAGACACTTTCTTGTGTATTTAGATATGGAAGGGAAGTTAGCTCTACCAATTAACAGTAACATAAAAGTTTCAACATTTCTGAATTTTTTTAACCTTTGCAAACTATATAATTGGATTATAAATCTCACCTTTTCTACCACAATAAACATATTGTCCAGTGTACATTCCTTCAGCTGCTATAAATAATTCACTTTGTAGACAAAACTTTCTGGGATTACGGAATACTACTCTGGCTAGAGGAGCTCCACGACCAGAATCATGAAGAATTTCCTGCAAAAAATAAAACATAACTATTCCTTGCATGTTTTCTGAAATCAGTATGTAGGGTAAAAATTGATACAAATGGTAGCAAATGTATACATAAAATCAGATGCATATTGCGAATTTAGAATTACTGAACTGAGAGGGCAAGGAAATCAATTCTGGGCATCCTCAGATCTCCCTCAAGAATATATCATCAAATCCTCTTGTTTATACCTTTATAACTCCTTTAATGTAGCCATTTCGTTCTGCATAGTCAACAGGTCTATGCCTTGGTTTTCCCTTCCTGAGACGGATAGATGCTTTAAATACACTTCCGCGACCTTTTCTCTGGCCACGAATAACTCGAGGCATTTTGCTGCAAATAGAAAATGAATCTCATTACTTGAAATCACAGGCCTCAATGACTAGTAGTTATTTGCATAAAGTCACAAACCCAATTAAAAGAATGGAGATTTAATTAGCTTATCTACTTAAGAAATGGAATGTTACTTATAAACACTATAATTTCCTCTTCAGTCAGGCTAAATAAGGTCAATGCCATGCAGTAACTTAGCAAAAACTGTGGAATAAGTCTTCTCCTTTTCAGTAATCATCTGTCCAGGGAGGTAACTTTAGGTAAGGTTTCAAATTGAAAAAGCCATCAATCTTGACTGATCACAACTTTCTACACTGACCATTATAAACTTCCACGCAAGCAAACATTATTAAGACGATAGTACAAGATTGAAATTCTGAATTTGATTGATTTATTGCATCACAACAGGGAATTAATTGGAAATACATAATTCAATCGCCATTTGTTTTGACCACACCACACATGAAAACATGTTTGCCACATATCGAATTTTACATCAATAAGAGGACGACGGGCATACAATTATGAGAGAATCACTCGGAAATTGCTTTCCATAGGATTTTATTTTAACTTAAAAGAAGGAAATATGTTGGATGGCGAAGATAACAGTTCGATTTTTAAGGATTACAAATACACACATCTCACCTCAGTGAAGTGATTTGGTAAAGAGACCGGAAGCTGATTTTGCGACACGGATTTGAGGGTTAATTTTATTTCAAAGATATCAATCCAGACTTAATCTAAAAAATAACGGTTTATTTCATCATTTAAGAACGATCAGTCAAATCTATATCCATTAATGAACTTGTCTTGATTTTGAAACAAATTCTGCTTTTGCGACATTCGGTAACTGCCTATGAATTAACTCCCTTTACTTATAAAACACTTGATCGTCCAGACATATAGCTAGACATCATCTTCACAAGCTATAATGATATAGGATTTGCATTAAGTTAAAGTTAAATATTTATAGCTAATCTCTTCAAGAAGTCCGAAACTATAACATAAGTTGCATTTAAATTGATAAGACAACGACGACAACCTTCAATACGAACAAATCTGACATTTTTTAATTTTATTTTAACAACGTTTGAAAATATGCAAAGATCACTAGAGAAATCGTATCAAAAGAGAAACAAATGAGGTGGACGTGGTTCAATTGGGGATATAAACCAATTTTCCGAGGAGTTCAACGGGCCAGTTAAATTTTGTTAAGAAGGTTTAAAACGTTAGGCGCTCTTAATTGTTAACTATTGACCAAAAAATATAAATGCTTGAAAAACTTACTGAAAGTTTTAATTGTGTTTTTTTTTAGCGATCGGTCGTTATATAAGACACAACACCAATAAACTTTTTTAATAGACAATAATGATATTTTATAGTACACAGCTTTTTTAAATTTCGAGTTGATCAAGTAGATACATTATAGCTAGAAGTAAAAAGCATATTTTTTCACATTTAAACAACGCTCGCTTCCGTTTACCTCTCGGTGTCGCTAATGAATTAGATCGTTACCGACACTCTCTGTTATTATATCAGAGTTGTTCAAGTTCAAGAGGTATTCATTAATTAAAATCAGACCAAAATTTCGTTCCTTTTTTTATTAGTTTCATTTTCAATAACGTCAGAAGTGAGTTGCTTACTTTGGCTTATGAAGATGAAGGTCGATAACCTTACACGGCCTGGTCACGTGTTTTAAGATATTTATAGCCAATTTCTTTTGTCGTGCCGCATTGGCCTCCATATTTGTTCACACGAAATTAGTGTGAAAATTTTACTTGAATTATATAATGCCTAATGAATACAACCAAAATGGGAAGGGTCTAGAGCAGCAGGTTAGTAAGCTGAAATATCAATGAACAATTTGAAAAGGATTTGTGAAGTATAAAACTACCAGATTCATTAAAAATCAAAGAAATCTATGCCAGTTCTGTGCGTGGAAAATTTCCACCGACCTGATCACCACGCCGGTGATCTCAGCTGAGACCGTGAAATGAGTTGAAAATATCCGACAATAATGTTCTTATAGCTGGATTTAACACAATTAAGAAAATGAATTTTGATAAAGATGAATTTTTTAACCTATCATATTCCCATATCATTGCATTTGTAATGGCTTTATTAACCACACCCTGCCTCTGCTGTCTCTTATCAATGCCATGCTATGCAGCCATGTCTGTATTGAAACTTTAGAGTTGAAATAGGCTTCTAAAGACTCTTTACTATGCACCTAACTTTCAAGCTTGGTCTAATGAATATGGTTGGGAATGGCCTTGTGAAGTAGAAATATTCTTGCACAAGTCTCATGAGCGTGCTGCATACACTTGTCTTGAGACAATACAGACACAGTAGTAAGCCTGTTCTAAAATTTAACCATACATAGTGTTTCACAAAAATAAATTGAAACGCTGCAAATTCTTAAATTTTTGATACATTTTGCCAATAATCCTAATTGTGGTTGAGGACTCAAGGTTGTGGTAAGTTCTGATAGCATAAACTAAAGCAGGTAAAATCCAATAGGCCCAGCCTAGATCTTTCACTAAGAGTTAAATGAAAACGTGTAAATCTAGCATGCAATCTATATGTTTGACTTATGCATGAATTAACATATACAGTGGTTGTGAATTTTGCATATTTAGTGAGATGATGGCCAGGTTCAATACATATATTCATTTCAGAAGTTGTTCCTCATATCTGCATGCAAACTGGCATTGCACTTGTCCAATGAGGTATAGATTGGAGAAAAAGTTTACCATGCTCTAGCGAATGAAATAACCTGTTCGCTCAAAACATCATGAAATGACAGTTAAGTATGTGCCAAAATTTGTATATAATTTCTGTTTTAGTTTGCTGGTCTGGACATCAACTCTGGACGTCCAGGTGGAAGAGGTCAAGGTAATTGGGGTGTACAACAATACCCAGGACATAACAGTAAGTATGACTTTAAGATTTAATTTACTTATGAGTTTTTACCTCATGTTTGATAGCATTGTGCATTGAAAATTGTCTGTAGCATCTGTATTTCAATAAGTTGCATTAATCAGTACGATATAATATTTTGGATATCTAACAATCTATTTATATATTATTGTAGATGCCTACCGCCCAAACAACAGATATCCAGGGCCTGAACAGATGATCTTTTTACAAGGAGGTAAGTTGCTTTTATGAAAATAGCTAAATTGTTCTATGACACATAATGATCAAATATACCTTCATGAATATGACCAAGTATTATTTATTACCAACATACAACTTGAAGCTTTATAGAAAACAAGTTTGGTAATTGATTTAAAAAGAAACTATGCTTGAATTTTGTTGTACTCTCTTCCATTGCATATATTTAAGGTCCTCCACAAAATGTTCAGCGCTATGTGCCTCCACATATGAGAAGTAGTGGTGGTCCTCCTCAACAACCACCAATGTTTAACCAAGCTCCACCAGACACTCGTGGTGGTGGATGGGGTGGGAATGGTATGTGTACATATTTCAATTTAGAAAGACTTTTCACAGGAGTTTTAATAGAATTGTAGGAATCGAGTCTGACTGAAAATTTCAGTGGTGCAATTCGATGCTACTAGTGTCCCTAATACATGTACTCATACCAAGAAAACTTCTTTATATGGTTTGAGTCAAATATATTACATAATATATTAAGATGAGACAAGTGCATCATTTGTATTTGTAATCTATTCTAGATCCTGCGACAGGTGGGGGTTATCCCGGTGGATATCAACCTAGAGGAGGCTATTCTGGTGGATATAATTCTGGACCACGTAAGTTATACGTGTTAATATTTTAGGGTTATTCAAAGGCTGTTGAAAGTGTATGCAAGTTGTATATATTATAGAACGGAAGATAGAAAATTATTCACAAAAATCTGTTGGAGTACCGAATGTGATCAAACTCTTCAGAAAATGAGGCTTTTTTTTATTACTAGTCAAATTGACTAGAGTTCATATCATGCTGCTTTGATTTATAATTGCCTTGGAACTTTTAATGTCTCAACTTCAAACATATTTGCTGTGTGTTATTGATATTAGATATTATTATTTACAGCAATGAATGATAGAGGTTTTGATCGTGGAGGTTATAATAATTATAACAGAGGTGGTCGAGGAGGAGGAGGAGGTTATAATAATTATAACAGAAGAGGTGGCGGTGCAGGTTATAAGTAAGACATCAATGAATTGTCCATTCACATTAATTTAACTGAGCTTGCTGAAAGGCTGTAAATGATTTACACATTAGCAAAAAGACAATCAGATTGTGTTGGTTCATTCTAAAATTAACGTAGGCCAATTCTTATTTTGATGCACCGTTTTCAGTGCTGTGTGGCATGTGCTTGTTACGGTGAATGTTTGTCTTATTTGATATTTTTCTCTTTAGTGATGGTGGCATGGGAAGATACGATAGACAAGGCAGTGCCCCACCACAACAAGGTGGTAGTAGATGGGATGCTCTCGGTGATGATGTACCTAGAGAAAGAAAATGGGGACATAATCGTTGGGACAGTCGTGCTGATAGTGGTGATACCTGGTCTAATAATGGTGGGGAAGTAGATTGGTCAACACCATTACCTCGCAATGAAAGATTGGAACAGTAAGTAGACAATACTCAATTTGAGCTGATACAAAAACTGAAGGAAGCTATGCACCTGTTCCTACTGTGTAACTGAGTGTACTTGGAAAGTCCATAAGCTAATATTTGATTCCACTTATATATTATGAAGACTGACTTTTATAAACTTCCTTTCTTTTATTTGTTCTAACATTTGAGACAAGAGCATTTAAGACAATTAATAAAAGCTAGTTACCAAGCCAGTTACTTTACTGAATTAGAACCATGAATGATATTTTACTGCTTACTGTTTAATACTAATATATGTTTAATGTTTGTAGTGAATTATTTGGAGGTGGTAATACTGGTATTAATTTTGATAAATATGAAGATATTCCAGTAGAAGCCAGTGGAGAAAATCCTCCAACTAATATTGAAAACGTAAGTTGTTAAAATTAATACAGGCCTTTGGCAACATTAGAATTCTTACTGACTGTGTGTTTTTGTATGATGTATGTTGTTTAATTAGGCAATGATTTCTCTTTCAGTTTGAAGATGCCAGTTTGGGAGAGATTATTCGTAATAACATTGTGCTATCCAAATATCCTAAACCTACACCAGTACAGAAGTATGCCATACCAATTGTACTAAATAAAAGAGATTTGATGGCTTGCGCACAAACTGGTATGTATTATAGAGATTTTATTTATTGATTATTGACTTGCAAGATTGGAATAAATGAACAATATAAATATCAGACAAGTTTGAGGAGCAATCTATTGCTAGAGGCCTGAATTGATCTTTTGAATGTTTTCAGGATCTGGTAAGACTGCAGCCTTCTTGGTTCCAATATTGAACTTATTGTATGAAACTGGACCTGGTGAAGCTCATGAAGCTGAACAAAGACAAGGACAGGTATAGTTGACAGTTACTTTTTGTGAATGAGAAGTTGTAGGATACGGTACATTTCATTAGGTAATGAACAAGATCAAATGTGACCAGATTAGACATGAAAGTTTACTCCCTAATCCATATTTATTAATCCTTCCACATATAAGCAATATGGCAGATAACTCTAATTTCATTGAAAAGACGGATACAAATGTAAATGTTGATATGATTCAACATAACTCATTTAATGTGACTCATAGCAGCTTTGTTTGCCTGAAATGCTATGTATATGTTGTGGATTTAAGGTAGTTAATGTTTATGTTGAATTATAGGGCCGAACCTATGTTAGACGAAAACAATACCCCAGTGCTCTTGTATTGGCACCTACCAGAGAATTGGCTTCACAGATTTATGATGAAGCTAGAAAGGTTAGTTAATATGCTTAAATTGTGTTTTTTGTCTAAGACATTGGTAAGATTGTAAATTGTATAATGAATTCACACAAGAAAACTCGAAGATTAAATCAATAATGTGAAGTAAATTGAAAGTTATTTGATGTTTTGTCATTGATCTTAATTTTCTGGAAATGCTACATGAATAGGAACATGTTTATTGTTACAGACATTCAGCCTTTGCATGTCAATAAAATTATATGAAGATAGTTTAAATGTATTTGTTTTTATTTTAGTTTGCATACCGTTCAAGAGTACGACCATGTGTAGTATATGGTGGGGCAGATATTGGAGCTCAAATGAGAGATTTAGATAGAGGATGTCATTTATTAGTGGCTACACCTGGACGTCTTGTAGATTTGATGGAACGTGGTAAAGTAGAACTCCAACATTGCAGGTAATAAAACTTAAAGAATAACTTTCAATGAATCCACAATGTTGTTGGTAGAATAATCCTTTTCTATTGCACAAAAATATTTTCCTCAGAAAAAAAGTGTGACAGGGAAAAAGATTAACATTTATCTCTGTTGTAGATATTTGATGTTGGATGAAGCTGACAGAATGTTAGATATGGGTTTCGAACCTCAGATTAGAAGAATTGTAGAAAAAGATTCTATGCCCCCTAGTGGAAAGAGACAAACTCTTATGTTTTCTGCTACTTTCCCCAAAGAAATTCAGGTAAAATTTTTGCTATCCTATTAAAAAAGAAAAAAAAATTGTTTGATTTTCACAATAAGGGCCCAGGGAATAGGACTGCAGGACTGTTTTCCTGTATGGGGTCCAATCTCCACAAAATTTGGCATTTCCTTATTTCTCAAAATTACATTCCATTGTTTAGTGATTTGAGGTTATTAAGGGTGTCTGAAGACAGAAAATACACCCATTATACATATACTAAACAGTTTGCTAGAGGACTGCATTACACAAGAGCTAATATTTTTAAATGCTGAATGATGTCAATTTTGTAGATTTTGGCTCGTGATTTCCTTGACAACTATATATTTTTGGCTGTTGGTCGTGTTGGTAGTACCAGTGAAAACATTACACAGAAAGTTGTGTGGGTTGAAGAATCTGAGAAGAGATCATTCTTGTTAGATTTGATCAATGCTGCTGGTGAGTAGAATAATTTGGGTTAAATTGATTTTTTAACATGTCCAACAGATTTCCATTACGTACTCATGAACTTGGTTTTTTTTTTTTTAGGTCCAGAATCACTAACACTTGTGTTTGTTGAGACAAAGAAAGGTGCTGATGCTTTAGAAGTGTTCCTAACCAGAGAAGGATTCCCTGCTACCAGTATCCATGGTGATAGATCACAGAGAGAAAGAGAAGATGCTTTAAGACTGTTTAGAAGTGGTGATCGTCCTATTCTGGTAGCCACAGCTGTAAGTACCTTGTGTATATATATTAATGTTGAGTCATCAGCAAATGTGGTTGAGAATTCTTCTTGAGGGAATGACTACAATTTACTGGTCTTATTTAGCTCATTGGGGTGTAGAGTAACAATGGCTTAATATTAATTGATAATGTGTATTACAGGTTGCTGCTAGAGGTTTAGATATCTCTAATGTAAGACATGTTATTAATTTTGATCTACCTAGTGATATTGAGGAGTATGTACATCGTATTGGTAGAACAGGACGTGTTGGTAATCTTGGTAAGTGTAGATACTTTTGCTTCACTTGAAAAAGAGAACCTCATCAATATTACTGATCCCTTTATGAAGTAATAATTCAAAAGCTTAAAACAAAGACATTACATTTGATAGAAATTTAAGTTGTTTGATATATAGGCTCTTATGGTTTATTTCCCGAAACGTGGCATGTCTACTTCTGAATTATTTGTTCCTGGTTGTCAGATCTCTTCACTTCATGTTGCTTGTCTTAGGTTTGGCTACATCTTTTATTAATGAGAAGAATAAGAATATTGTAAGAGATCTACTGGATCTATTGATGGAAGCTAATCAAGAAGTACCATCCTGGCTAGAAGCTGTTGCTACTGAATCTAGATCATCTGCTGGATCTAAACGTGGGGGCAGAAAGTAAGTTTCTTCTCTTAAACAACATTTGTGTGGAAGTCTTGAGTCATTGTTTAGGTTGCAACATACAACAAATCATAAATACCTAGCCCTACCCTTACCCTTGGAAGGCCCATTAAAGCTTTTTTGAGAAAAACCTCCCACATTTAAAGAATATATATGGATTATGTTAGGCAATGCATTACAACATTATACATATGATTTTAACAGGTATGGTGCCGGTGGGTTTGGTGCTAGAGATTATCGTCAAGGCAACAAGGGACCTAAACCAGCTATGGGTATGGGTAATGGTGTGAAACCACAGATGGGTGGCTATCCACACATGAACCCGTTTGTCAACTCCTCATCTAGCTATGGAGGATCCTATGGTGGATCATATGGTAGTTCCTATAATAACTACAACCAAGGTACTGATTGGTGGAGTAGTAACTAAATATTGTCAACAACACTAGATATTGTGGGCTTGACCCTTCCCATTTTTCTTGTTTATTTCTGTACGTTTTTGGTGCTTGGATATATTACTAAGCAACAGTTTATGGAGCCAGAGTTAAGAATTTGTAACGTGGTGAATTAAATATAATCTCTTTATTTTCAAGCTGTAGTTGTAAAAAAATTGCTATGAGATCTTTCGTTACCAGCTTGAAAATGAATGAGACATATTTTTGAAGCCCAACTTTTTATTGTGCTTTATTATTTGAGATAAAACTCAAGAATTTTCACACTAATGAACAATACATGGTGAGGACATGTCATTTCTCTGTTTAGTTTTTATTATCACCATTATCATATTATACATAGTATTGTTGATGTTATCTTCATCAACTCTCATAGTTTACAATATTTCATTTTTTTTATTTTACCATTTTTGATATAACTAATCATTAATTTATAATGATCTAACAATATTATGTTGTCATGTAACATTTATGAGGATAGAGTAACGAAATCCTCTTGTCTTATGTTACTTTATTTTATTTTAGACACAAATAAAAGTATTCCAAATATGAGATGCATATACTTTTGCAATATGTCCCCATGTGTTGTGTGCAATTAGTCAGATTTTTGTCTTGACATGAGACAACATATTAAAGTGAATTATGTGCGTATAGTTTTAGATTAATGGTTTATCTGACACTATTGTGAATTAAAGTGTGAGATTATAAAGGAAAACAACATAATTCACTCCAATATTTTATATATACATTAAGTTATGAACAGCACTTATTTGCTAGTCATTTCTTAATCCTAAATAATTTCTTAAAATATAAGTAATATTCTAAGAAAGTTTATCAATAGATCTGTTTTGATAATCCATAAACCTCTGGTTTCCTATGCTGTTTCATTTAACTTTTTGCTTTGCTAGATTTTTTTTTTTTTTGTTAATAGATAGCTTTTGTCCTCATGCCGTCCTGTCATAAGATATATATGTGAAATAATGTATGTGCTGATATAATATTTGATCATGACATATCATTGAACAGCGCTGATTAATTGTTGGATTAGACTCGTGATTTTAGAGATGGATGCGCTGGTAACTTTAGAATCTAGTTCATGGAAATGCACATGCTCTGTATATTTTGAGAAAATGTACAGAGTGAGATGAAATATTATCCGGGACCATTATTATAATTCTCAGATTCCAATATCTTGTTTTTACACATAATTTGTGTTTGAACATTGTTAATAACGACTGACCCTGTGAACATTGATATGTTGATTTGGATCAGAATATTTTAATATGTGGTGAATCAACACGAGAATTTGAATTATCCTGAAAAGTTTTACTTGGAACAGATTAAAGGTATAGAACATATCCTTATTAAAGATCACTGTTCCAAGCAAAAAATTTCATTTGCTGATTTCTGTGGCCAAAATCAGCCTTGAAATCATCTGACAGTTTTGATATATCATTGAAATATCAGGGTTATTTTAAACTGTTCCAAATGTGTCTTGAAGTTTTATTTGTTCTTTTTGACATTTTAATAACATTTTGACATTCATTTTAGCGTGTAGTTCTTTTTTTATTTTGAGGTTTGTTAGTATTTTGGCTCAAATTGAGAAAAAATTTACTTTTGTGATTTATTATGTGATATGTTGAATTGATGAAAATTGAGAAAGTAATATTTAAATATAGTGCTAATTATATTCACTATATATTTAGTGGTAACAAATTTAATTGAAAATGTGATATAGAAATATGAATGTCAACTTGTGGATGTCAAAACAAAAGTATGCCATAAAAGCAAACATATTATATATTTTGTTCTTCCACAATGTCAGAAATGAAGTATCATGTAAGTTAAGTAATATTACATCAAATATTCTAGTCTCTTTTATTAGAAAGTTATCAATTCGGCATAAGTCGTTAAGATATTGGTTAGTTTTCAGTCCACAATCTTTGTAAGCATCTTCCCATTTTTAGCTGCAGAGTTCCCCTGTTGTGTGATTAAGAATTAAAAATCTTTGCTCCTCGGACAAATGGATATTAATTAAAAATAGCACCTGAAAATGATTAAAATTTAATGGAAAGTGTTGAATTGAATATTTTATACCATAAATCTTCCATTCATATCAACCTTCTATTTAAACCGGTGCTGCATTAGTTATTATAACTAATATTTATCAAACAATTGATATATATTGACATTTCGATAATTTTTTTTTATAACATTCCAAATGCATTTTGTGCCAATTATCTCATAATTTTCAATTCATTTAGATAATATTGTTCACATATTCAATAATCATAGTGTCGAGGAATACTGTGTTGGGTGATGAACTATTTTCTGTCAAGTTCTATAGTTACGAACATAATAATAAAAGAAGTATAACTCAACACTGGTTTGAATGTGAAAAAGTCATGTGAATAGTATTAACATGAAATATTTATCAGATTTTATTTTTTTATATTTGATAAACAAAGTGTGTTTAGTGTGATTGATATAAAAACAGTAGTTGTGTGTGCACAAAATGCGAGGGGAATAATCAAATTTTAAACCATAACAAATTTCAGTAGGAACAAATTTGAACTATGCAGTAAATGTAGTTCAGCTATCAGAAAATCTGATTTTAAAATACTCATTTGTCAAAGTGAGCAAATTGAATGTGGTTGTTTGTATGAATGTTGTGACATTGAATAGATAACCTAATCAACCAAGTGCTTTATTCTTACATTTTTTACTAAATTATTGAATCTCAAAAAATGTACTTAACCAAATGAAAACCAAATGTAAAATAGCGTTTTTGTAGATAGCCAAACATTTTATTTACTACAACCATATCAAAATTTGATTTGAGACAGAAGTCTTTTATTGTGATCTACAAAATTCCATAATTTTCTAGTCTCGTTGCTTATTTTTTTTGTACAAATTTTTGTTTGGTAAAAAAGCCAGATGTGATTTGTGATGGTAGAGGTTATATCATTAGTTTATTAGTGCCAAAAAGGTTATTGAAATTATAATCAAATTACAACATTTTTTTTACTTGGTTAGTTTTTCAATGTCACACATTGAATTAAACAATTTTATTAATGTCTTATATTTTGGTTTTATCCTCTGATTTTGTTTGTCTGTGATAATGGTGATATCTGCCATGTAGATTCATAATGATATCTATTATCAAACGTAGATTCAGATTATCTACTGTAAATAGATATATCTACAGTATATTTTGTCTCATTGTTTTAAAAACAATCACGTATTATCAGGGATGCTCTGCACATTTTCAAATGGGATTTGCAATATATGTTTATAGATTAATCTTAACAATACAAACCATTGAATGATAAATTAATCTCTTTTAAGATTTAATTACTATGCCTTAAATAGAGGAACTTATTAATGTTAATTAGATAACACTATATTCGTTTTGGATGTTAATAAGGCATGGCCACTTAATGCCTTTCTTTTTTTTAAGGTATCCTATCTTATGTTTTAATTACAGATAGTAAATTATAAGAATTCTTGGTGTTAAAACCACAGATAAATTTCTGATGCAGGGAGAACGATTTATTTTCTTTTCTTTTTTATTATGGGACGGCATTTGTAATTTTCATATTAACTGTTTAGTTTGTAAAATTTGACTACCACACCATAATATTTTCCCGAAATATATGGTTCCAAATAAATTGGCATAATTTGACCATATACCTTGCTATATTGATACTAATTATTATTGATATCCAGTATTATGGTTTGGTGGTACATTTCAAAGTTCAAATAAAGATACAAATTTCTTCAAGTCTCATGTGTTGTGAATCTTTTTTGCTAGCATGGGGCAAAAATGATTCTTTGTAGTGCCCAACATGACCTTTAAACTGCCATTATGCCTTAGTTTGACTTAATAGTTTCTTTGTGGATGGAAGGGGCTGACATTGGAAAAACTGTCTAATTTTAGCAATCTTCAGGAGTCAATACACTTCAGAAATATATCAAACTTGGATTCAATTCTTTCAAATCCCAGCAATGCTCCTCAGATCAAAATTGAAAGTCAAAAATTAAGATTCTGATATTTGCTCTCTAATCAAGATCGATTTAGTTATTATTCATGGTCCTTTGTTCTTAGGAAACGAGACAAGTTTTTATGCATTCATGTACCAGTCAACCCTGTTATTAGCTCTTTCCACCAGAAAGTTTGCTGGTCTATATTTCAACACTATAAAAGTAACTTTAAATTTATGTAAAAAAAAAAGTATATTGTCTTACAAAATTGAAGATGCCCTTTGACTTGGATATTGACAAAAACTTTGGAAGGGAAAACAAGGCTATATCTTGCAATCATTTTATCCTGTTCAGAAAGTGAGTCAACACACTAAAAATTACATAACTGGATACAGAACAAAAGGTTGATCAAAAGTATTTATTGAGGATAATGGGTTGCATAATTAGACAATGTCCAAGCTGTTCAGTGCTTATACAGCATTGTGGACATAAGATATGTACAATTGTGATATTTATTATCAAATCTGAACAATACTTTAAGAAAATGTTAGAATATTCATACAAAATAATGAAAGATGTTCATCTAGTTGATACCAGTTTTTCACAGTATTTAAAATATTGGGTGGATCTTCACCTGAAAAATGTGGACACACAAATTCTAACTTAAAATTCTGAGGTAAGATATCTTTAATCTTTTGGAATACTGTATTGGGAGTTATGATGCTAATTGCATAACTGTTCTCAGATTGTTTCTGCAGGGTTGTTAAAGTTTTGATCAAAGTTTGAGAATGTTCACCAGCTAAGTCAGTAATACTGAAATTTTGTGATGTCATTAAATGTTTTGGAGGCATATAAGTTTTATAAAATATTAACTGTCGATTTATTTGGTTTTGCACATTTGATATGGGTTCAGATTGCAGTTCTAAAAGAGTAGCTACCACACCACCTTGATGAAGAAATCCAAAAAATACAGTTGCACATATATTAAACACAATCCAGAGACACCAAAACACATTTTGAAATTTACTTGATTCCAATATATCTGCAGCCATAACACATGCAAATGGTATGATGGGTAGTAAGAATCTTGGTTCTTGGTGTGGAAATAAAGATAAATATGAAATGGGACAAATAAAAGCTATGAAGAGATATATCATTTTTAAATTCACATCAAAGACATCTGTCATCATTTTAGAAATTGTTCTGAGCAGTCCAATTATAATAAGCACAGCTACTGGTCCCAGTAACATAGGCACATTCACAAATAAATGTAAAATTCTTGGATGGAGACCATGTTCTGCTAAATGATCACTTTGACTGTTGTAACTGATAAAGTTCCATGGAGTGATCACAAGAGATGAAAAAAAGTTTTTAATGCAGGTTAATGCAGAACTCTGTGCTAAACATTCCAAAAAGTGATCATGGAGTTGCACAATGGACCATTCTTTGTAATATAATTGATCAATGTAAACCAAGACAAGGAAGGCTGTAAGAGCACCAATAGTAGCTGATCCTGCCATAGTCATAAGAGCACTTATTTTATAGGATATAGGTGATTTTTTGAAAAATATCAGTACCCACAAAACCACAGGGGCTATAATGAAAAAAATAAAAGTTGGTCTATTAAACATTCCACTGATGGCAATACTTCCTAAAAAATATGATGAGATGCTTGACAAAGGATTAAGTTCAAAATATAATTTCTTTTTAGCAGACTTCATCTTCCACTTGGCAGATCCTTTCAAAAGAACGCAAATAAATAGCGATACAAAAAACGTCTCTAAACTGTTTGAAAAAGTTCGACACAGAAAAACTAGTGCTATGTATGATATTGAAAAAAGTTTGAGGGCAGAGTCTGAATTGATGTCAAATGTTTGACACATGATATAAATACAGTAATCTGTTATCAGAGATAGCACAGCCATCCATAATCTAGGTAAAACTAATAGCCAGTACGGTGATATTACCATCCATGAAAAATGTTGTAACCATTTCAGGAGAGATAATGGTAGTCCACTAATAATATAAGGGAACGCTATACATCGTATTGGATTTTCAGGATTAAACTCCCAAGCTCTAAACACATCAATACCTAACTGGTCACCTGCAATAAAAAAAAATATGATATTAAATTCAGAGACAAATAACCAAGAAGAGTTAAAAAATTACATGTCTACACATTTTATTTCCCGTTTGAATCTGGCAAACATAGCTATAAAAAAGAACGTGAGAAACTTAACCCCCACCCCTCCCTACCAATCTAGACATTATGCCTCTTTCTTAGTTATAGGAGTTTTCTGGTAGCCTATGATAATGTAGCCTGACTTAAGCATTGCTCTATTGATGGTGAAACTAAATACATGTAATGTGGCTGAAACCAGGATTGGCACATTATTAACCTGCAACTATCTCTGTTGATTGAAAAAATTCATCTGGGTGGATGTATCCTATCTGTGGTAAAAGTACCATAAGAAATCGTAAGATCATCAAAATTACAACAGATATTCTCATTTTGATATAGATCTAATAAGATTCTTGACGCGTCGTATCAAGAGTCAGTCAGGGAAATGGACTGCTTTGCCCTTGTTGTCTTGTACTCTTGTAATGACAGAGTTATCTTTCCCATTTATCCAAAAAGTCTCAGAAATGAACAGCTTTAAATAATCGAATAAAGGAACAATATTAAAGAATACTGAATGTTAAATACTAATAATACACTTTTTAATAAAAATGTACATTTAATCTGTTACTGCTTTGACTGAATTCACTTTTTTCTCTTCACGCACATTTTGGCACAGAGAGTATTTATATAGGTGGCGCTAAGTACTTCCGAGAAAACAAAAATTATTTTCACTATCAGGAATTTACATTTTATAGCTTTTTGTCAACAAATCTATAAATATGTCAAGATCTCTGAATCAGCGGGCGAAGGGCAAGACTTCTTCTGTTCAGATTAGCACATATCGTGATCAACATTTCAAGGTGAGGCGATTGTTTGCTTGATAATTGTGGTCTTGTAATTGCATTGGTGTCTGTAAAATGTCAATGAATGACCAAAGATTTCGTCAATTTGGTTTGAGATGTGAAGGTACAATTTCATATTAAACCACAGGGTCACAGATATGGTATGGTTTTTGTCTTTGAAATAGTTTGTAAATGACACTACGTAAATAAAATGTAAATTTTATCGCTTTATCTTCCCTTAAGTTGTTTTTAAATAAGATGTTACTGGTATTTTGTTTATTGCAGGGAAGCAGAAATGATCAGGACCATTTGCTTATACAATCAACAACGTTATATGTTGGAAATTTATCTTTCTATACTACAGAAGAACAGATATTTGAATTATTTAGTCGATCTGGAGATGTGAAAAGAGTTATTATGGGTTTAGATAAAGTCAGGAAAACTCCGTGCGGGTTTTGCTTTGTTGAGTATCCTTGTATCGATTTGTATGAAATATCTATCTTCAATTGGTTTTTTAGGAATAATGAAGTCATATCATTTCATCATTCTTGTTGTTCAAAAAGCAACTATGATACAAAACCACAGCTTAAACTTTGTATTTGATTGAAGTTGTATTTTAATGGGGTCTATTGTCTTTTTTGTTTTCACTTATTCAGATGTATCTTATTATCCTTATCCTACTAAGATATTATGTGCGAGAAGATGCTGAGAATGCTGTGAGATATGTCAATAGTACCAGGTTAGATGATAGAATAATTAGAACTGATTGGGATGCAGGCTTTAGAGAAGGTAGACAATATGGTAGAGGAAAAAGTGGTGGCCAGGTACATCATATATTTTATTTAATAAAACATTAAGTGAACAAGAGAAATCTTCAGAGTATCTTGTGGGATTTCACATCTTGTGTAATCAGCAACATGCTATCCTTTTAGATCCTTAAAAATGTGAGCCTCATACAAAATTTACCTAACTGATTTTTTTAACTGAATTGTTTTTTTTTTTTTGATTTTGAGCTCAGATTCAGAGACAGATTTTACTTTTCACTGTTTTTTTTTTTTTGTACACTCAAGTTCCAATTTATGTTTTAGGAAACTACATACAGTTGTATCTCTTTAATGAAACTAGTTATAGAAATTTAGAATTGTTCTTAGCATCCTTTTGTTCTAATGTGAAGAATTTGTATTGTAGGTACGAGATGAGTATAGATCAGATTTTGATGAAGGTAGAGGAGGATATGGTAAAATAGTTATCAATAAAATACGTACAAGAGACTGAACAGAAGAAAATCAACTTTGTATTAGAATAGGAATAGATTTTCCATGTTTTTTAAGTAATTTATGTGTGTACGTTATTGATATGCTTGAGGGAGATTTCAAGATGGTTTCTTGACAGTGTAAATATGGATTTGAATTGCAAAGGTGATAATTTGAAGGGCTCATCTGGGAGTTGTCTGAAATATTTCCAGACATAAACCCAAGAGATAGAATAAGTCCTGTATAGAATACTATTTAGTATGGTGGTTTTAAAATGTATGTATTGGTATAAATGTCAAGACTAATTTTTTATTTGTTGTATATAATGTCATAAAATGACACATTTATTCATTTTCATTTTGTAATAAAATTTTTAAATGATTTCTTGAAGTTTTTCACTTTACCAACAGCAAGAACTTTAATACAGCTATCATTAACTTCTACTGGAAAGCTTTCCAATCTATATTTGCAAATGACCTGAACTTGAATATTCTTTCTGAAAAGTGGTAAAGGCAGATTCTCTTTGGCGGTACAGAATACATGGCTGGGATTACATTATGTTAGACATTCAAGATAATTAAATACGTTAGACAGTCAGTTAAAACACATTTTACCATAAACATTATTTACTAACAAAACAATGAAAAATACAATTAAAGAGACATTATATAAACAATCACATGATTATCACAGAAGTTTTGTTTGACAGCTTAACATTTTATTCTACAGCTACAGCTATAGCTGGCATTACTTTTGATCAGTTCAATCAATCAAATTATAAAAAAATAATAACTTCTTAATAATTTTATCAGAAAAAACTCAATTTACTTTAGGAAAAATTAGGCATAGAGTAAAAGATATGACTTAAATGTCTTGTTTTCCATTCAAATCGAGACAAATATCAATTGTTTCAGTCTGATTCTGCTGAAATTTTCAGTTCATTGATATCTGTATTTGACATATGTCTAGCCTATGGTATATATCTAACTATTTTTTTGGTTAACAGTACGGTTTTCATTGGAGATTCTACTGAACTTGATAGTGGCCTACGTTCTTTTGGGCACATTATTACGTCGTAAAAGATTTTCTTCACTTTTAGTCTTCTTTCTTGTTTTACTAGATCTTCTTTTTGTATTTCTACCTCTTGGATATCTAGAGTCTTCATCCTACAATACAACAGTTTTCAACATAACAAACAATCCAGCAATCTATATGAATGTAGGAATGGCTATGAATTTATCGTGGTGAAAAAACTCTTCTTAAGAAGTCTGTCTTAAAATAATACCCAATACCAGAATTACAAGTTACAATCAAATTCATTTCTTCGTTAAAGTTCGAAAATCTAAGATCAACTTCTTCTGCAAAACTACTTACTGAATAGGCTAAGTTGGCATCTAATTGTGTACTCATGTATGCTAATTCTTTTCTGTAAGCATCTAAATCAGCTTCTAGCTTTTCTCTCTTTAGTCGTTCATAATCAAGTTGAGCTTCTAAGTCTTTAATAGTACTGAAATTCATAAAAAAAAAATGTATAGAAATATTTAAGCAAATTCTTTCTGGTGATCCTAATTAACATATTTCATCCACAAACTAGACAGACTTTGTCCCATTCATAAAGTATAAATTGATTGCAGTAAAATGTTGAGATGTGACTAAAAGAAAATACTTCAGAGATACTGTATTCATGTACCAGTACACATTGATAAATAAGAGCACCCATGTTTAATTTCAAAATGAGATTTTATATAACGATCTGAGGTACAGTCTTGATAAAAAAAAAAAGCATTCTTTATTTAAATATGTTACGGCACATCAATAAAACCAAGATATCGACACATTAGTAACCTAGTCAACATAATGTTTTCTAGTATGTTATTTTGATATGTTCAGAAAAAGAAATCATTACTTACGTATCTTTACTGCGTAGTTCTATTTTTTCTCTTCTATATTCCGGTACTACACCACCCAACTGAACAAAATTCTTTTTAGCAATTTCTAAATTCTTCTCTAGTTCTTCAATTCTCAACTTGGCACGGCCTAAAACCAATTAAAAAAAAGTTTACTTAAACTTCAAACACCGTCATAGTTATTGCCATTGACCATCAATAAATATTGATTTTAAATATCCATAATATTTTTTTAATATAAAAGTATGCCTACATACAAATGACAATTTTTCACTAAGGTTGGCTTTTTTTTTGGAATAATTATAATAAGATTAATAAATACTCCAAAAAATATCTAAAAAGTTTTTGAGAAGTATATGAAAGAAACATTGAAGAGAAAATATTATCACTATAACACTCAAACAGTATTTCTACATTAGTAAAGTATAGTTAAAATATCATGGTGACATAATCATGCAAGAGTAACTGAAAATAAGCCCCCTATAATTACCTTCCCCTACAACATACTAATAATAATAGATATTTATGAAAATATGAAGATAAAACATAAACAAAAACAGTTCACTTTATTTTTAAGTAGTTTAAATAGTGATGAACAAAATATAAGTCTGCATTGGCTTTAAATTATTATTTATTCTTACTTTACTTAATTCTAATTTAAAATAAAGCAAACAGCACATGTGAATGTATGGAACCATCTACAGAATTTTTCAGACTGCAGAACTTATCATGCATAAAATATACTGTCTACCCCTCCATGAGTCCCTCACAACATGCTAAAAACTAAATATTTAAATGTGTCCTTTAAAGGTCTACAGGTCACTAAAACTATCATAAGAAAAAAAGCAATTTTGACATTGTCTACTTACTCTTGACATCTGAATGAATATAAAGTCAAATAGATTTCATTAGAATGTAAATTGTTCTAAAAGCTACAATGTATATAACTTTTCAGAATATAATGAGAAGAATGCCATATTTATCAGTTTTCTCATTAGTATCATCAACCTCGCCTCAAGGTTCAACAAATAACAGAATTGAATCATTGGCAAGAAAAGGAACTCATACGATATAATTGTCCAGAAACACCTGAATTTGATTAAGTATTTTATAAGAGAAAACCTATGATGTTTTATTCCAAATAATATGAAACACCCCATCCAAATCATTTGTAATTCTTACCTTTTGATAAACATTTTTCTTTCTTGGCAGCCCTTCGTTTAGCTAAAGCTCTTCTAGCACTAACTGGTAATGATTCATCTTCATCACTGGCATAATCTAATTCTTCATCATCTTCTAAATCTTCATCATCTACAATTCATTAAATAAATATTTATCATAAACCTAAAGTAAATGAATATGACAGTCTCTTTGGGTTTTGTCATCCCACAATTCATCCTTATTATCAAGAAACTGGTACAACATGACAACTTTAATCAAATGAAAGTAACATCATTAGAACAGGATTGTGGTAGAAAACTTGTTAGATTACAATGCAGATGAAGCATGTTCACGTAAATAAATAAAAAAGAAATCTTATTTAAAATAGATTGTCTGCTCAAAGATAATTGGTACAAATGGTAAACTATGCAAAATGTGGCCAATAAACATCAGTCATAAACATACCTTGATCTCCACCTAATACTTTAACACAAGCTAGATGTGAGAATCGTAAAGCTACATCTTTTGGTGTTTCACCGGCACTATTTTCTGTATTCATATCACTACCCATCTCTACCAACCAGTTTAATACCTGCATATGACCTTGACCAGCAGCTGAAAGTACCAGAATGTCACCATTGTGTCTCTCAAAGTGATGCATAGAGTCCATATGAAAAATGGTACAATACTTTCTTTTGAAAATAGCTGTTCTGTTATTATATAATATATTATATAACATTCTGTGTTACATTATGAGATAAACATTAGACAATGATTCTAATAAAAAGTTATTTTTTAATAATCCAGTATACCTTTATGTGCAGGAGTGGAACCTTTTGTATCTTTTTCATTGATATTAACAACTCCATTTTCTACTAACATTTTTAATTGTTCTAAGTTACCAGTGTAGGCTGCAACATGGGCAGGGAAGGCTGAATCTGAAGTAAAAAAACACATACATGTATAAATTTTTACTAGATTTTTTGTATATGTAAGAGATAATGTATTGAAGAGCACAAATATATGCACATCTGAGGACAAATATATTCCTTATTATGAACAATACGCTTTTTTGCGTATTTTTAGCTATAAAGTTATAATTAGCTATGAATAGAATAAGTCTGAATACAGTTTCTACTATTTATTCTACCTCAAAATGAAATACACTTCTTCTGTTAATGTTTTTAACCAAACTCAGACTAGTGCAAATGTCTTTCCTCAACAATAGAATTAAAAAAAAGTTTTATTAAAAAAAAACTTGACATTTTATGATAACATACCTTCTTCTGGTTCTGGATGTTGTTCTTCCCATTCTATATTATTAATGTAATCAATTATATTCTGTTTATAAAATTGTTCTGCCAAATCTTTAGGTACCTCACCATTATCATTTCTAGCTCCCAATGTATGGGCCTGATTTCTGGTATAGGTAACTAAATATTTCAAACAGGGCAGATGACCTTCACAGGCAGCAAGGTGAGCTGGAGAAAAGAATGAACAAAAATATTGTCTATAACTAGCTAAATTATTTTTTCTTCAATATTTTTAAATATCAATTGAATATTTCATTAAAGAGTAAGCTAAATGGGGTAAGATATACTGTCTTGGAGGATGCAGTACACTGGACAGTAAGTGCTAAGTCATTCTTCAGACACCTTTCAATATCATTCACTTCCATTGTAAATGACCCAGTATTACTGTTGATTTCTTCAATTGTGGATCTTGACATATTTAAATTTGGATACATCCTTGTGATTTATAGAGTCTAGACAACAAGGAAATTGTTATTGCCTGAATGTGAAGTTTATCAACTAGCTGAATTTACTAATGATAATGAAATGCTGATAAATTTGAGGAATGACATACCTGGTGTGTTACCACTATGTTCCACTTCATCAGGATTAGCTCCCCATTTAATCAATATTTGTAAACAGCTTAATCTACCATGATAGGCAGCATAATGTACTGGCATCCAACCATTTTTATCTGTAGCATTAACATTCTGAAAGAGAATATTACAGAGGTATGCACTAGAAACCTTTCCGTCATCACATCCACTAGCATTGAAGCACATTAATATTACAAAGACAGATAAAGCAAGTGTTTGATTTAAAGAGATACAAGGTTCAATCTAAATTTTATCTGCAGGCAAATTTAACTGGATCTTAAATCTTACTTCAAATTCTTATCTTTCTTTTCAAGAAACACAACTCACCACTCCAGATCTTAAAATAGAATTTAAGGTGAAGGAATTTCCATGAGCTGCTGCTAAATGAGCTGCAGTACATCCTCTAATATCTTTCTCAGCTACACTAACACCATTATTAATCAGGGCCTGAACAATTAAAGTCAAGATTACTTTGATGTAAAATGGTAAAGATCAAGCTAACATTCTCTCTTTTAACTACTACCAAACCAACAGCACAGAATCATATCAACAACTAACTAGTTTGCGATATCAGCCTCTGCACGAAAAGTAAACTTGTCATTTACCAACCAGCCATCTAACATTCACTTAACAACAATTGTGCAACATCACATTTGACATTTTAGGTGGAGGAAGTTAACAAAGAAACTAAAATATTCAGATAAAATAGATAATTGTTGCAGTTATATAATATAACAATACCGACCTGTACACAGCCATCTTGACCTCTAATAGCTGCTATATGAGCTGGGGTCCAACCTTTAGGTGTTGTTACATTAGGATCAGCACCATGCCACAATAGCCAATGTATACACTGTAATAAATCAATCATTTTGAAATATTTCTTATCCTATTGATATTGAATTAATTAATCATTATCAAATACATTTACTTGCCCGTAATTCACAATTCGCACAATTTTATGGTACAATTTCATCCATTTACTGTAAGACTTACTTTTTGTTGTTTGTTTGTTCCATTGTAATCAATAATCTCATATTATATTCTGATACTAATAGCTCTCTCAGATAAAAAAAATGAAGATATTTACCTCAAGTGATCCGTTATTACAAGCTGTATGAAGAGGAGTAAATTTGTCTATTTCTTCAACTTCATTTAAACTGGCGCCATTTTTAGACATATACTCTAACGTCAATACATCTCCTTGTTTTACTGCTTCATGTATTGTCTGAGGACGTTGTGCAAAAACTTTGCCTACAATCAATTAAATTTACAACAAAATATTCTGATGGAATGTTTATTAAGTATGTGGACCTAGTCTTATTTGTTGCCGCTGGAAAGTCTTCTTACACAAAGAATAGTCTCCATAAAAGATAAAATAAACATCACATATCTACTACTGACTGGTGCCGGTATTTATTATGTTGTACATAAGATGAAATTGACAACATAAACTAATGTTAAACTAGTCTCAATTCGATGTTCAATTTCAAAGCAAAACAAGCACCTGTCTCATCACTAAGAATATCCTCGGCCTCATCACTAAGCTAAGTGACTTATTCATCGTAACTATCAATCTTGCATGTAATTTATCATTACTAAATGGCTTATATATATATACAAATGAAGGCCATAACTCACCAGGCATTTTCTTGTTTGATTTAGACATTCATTTAGAAAAGAAAGCAGAACAAGCGAGAGTAAAAGTTATTTTTCAAGTCTCAAGTTCTATCTTGTTTGTTTTTGTTTACATTGTAGTCAATCGCTCTGCAGAAAATGAAATGAAAACGAAAAATTGGATGATTAAAAAAGGAAATTAATTGATGATTAAAATTTCGACTATGGGTATCACGGTTTCATTACATCTATCTTTTTGATTAAAAAGTTGTGGAAATAACGACGATAGAAAATAAAAACAAAAATAATATTCAATGCGGCGGTATCTTAAGGTCAAGGTCGAAAATGTTTATTTCCGTTTTGAATTAACACGTGCATGTCCAATTGTCGGTTTTTCTTTAAATTGTACGTGTTACTGTAAAGCTGACATTATGACAAATAACTGCAGTCTACCCTCAAACAATATGAATCCTCCACCACCATGCATGTCAATGTCGCCAAACTTTGCCCACCCTCATCATGGATTTGGACCACAACAATATTGGCACCAGTTTTATGGTAATAATGGTCAGCAACAATTCTCAAATCACCCACCAATGCAGTCAATGTCACACATTCCAAACTTGATGCAAATGACAGGGGGCTTTCAAAATATGAATTCGAATTGTAAGAGGAAAGCAAACAATATTTGGTCACAGCAAAGTCAGGACTTAGATAATGACAGAAATGGAATTGGAAGAGGACAAAAATTCATGCAAGGTAGACAATTTCATCAAAATCAATCAAAATGGAATAGATATGGTTGCCAGAATGAAAATAATAGGAATCAGAAGAAAAGCAAAAACCAACAGAAGGTATATGATTTATGTGATAATATAGAAAGTATAAGCTTACATAGTTACAACATCAACGTTCCGAAATTGAAATTGTCTCAAAAGGTAGACTTGAGAATAAGTTCTGCAGTCCAACTTCAGTAAGGACGCAGACTGACAATAGGTCAGTTGTCTGAAGATCGCATAGCTTGAAACTCTGAGTAACATGTTTTAGGTTCTGTTTTCATATTTCTACAATTGAGCACTATTTTAACAGTGAGAATTTTTTGTAATATTATATGTACCTTGGTATAATAATTACCGTGTATCAAATGAAAGAAATAGATACTATAAGTATAATAATACATCTAATCATCACTTAGAATTGTAGTTGTTTAGAAACGCATATGCATTCTTGGCTCAACAAGTAACCTAGGACTAGCATATCAAAGTAATATGGTAGTAATAATATACCGGACATTTTTATTCATTTCAGTACATTTTAATAATTTTTCCTTCAAAATCATCTATTTTTTTAAAATTCTATTTCAGAAAGAAAAAGTTGACAAAAGAGATTTAGCTGAAAATAATGTTTTTTATTGTGATGCTTGTGATAGAGGGTTTAAAACAGAACAGGTTTATACAGAACATGTTGACAATCATCAGAAGGCAAGATGCTACCATTAGTAAATAAGTTTTTCCAAATGTTATATCAAAGAACACATGGTCCAAATGTTTCAACCTCTATTCAAAAAACATTATAAGCTTGAAAAATTCAATTATTTTTTTTGCTCTAAGACGTGATTCTTACAGCTTTTATGTTTATTTCAGTGCTCATATAAAGGATGTTCATATGTTGCTGCTCCTAAATTGGTAGAACTTCATTGTAAACTGGTAAGTATACTTTAAGTATAATGTAGTAACTATTAAATATGAACCTTGTTGTTCATTCAGATTAAATTGAAAAAAAAATGAAACAACCTCTTGGCTTTGGTCTTTTTGTGATTATCAGTACCCATTTACAGCTGGTGGACTTAAATAATTAGGAAAGGTGACTTATTCGCCAGACTTTCACATCAGGATTAGAAAATTAAATACCACACTTCCTTGATACCTGTATGATTTTATTTTCCTAGCAACATAGAAATGGATATGCTAAAAAAATTTGGTCCTTGGAATCAAAAGAAGATGTTGAAAATTGGATCAAGGCTAGAAAGAGGTAATAAAAACTTTTTTATGTAAAGATTTTGTGCAGATGAATGAAATAAATTATATGAGCTTTCTGATTGCCATTAACTTTCTGGTAAAGGGTATTATTTTGACTGGTTTAATAATCAAATTGACCAGAGCTCATGTTGCTTAACATGTGTTTTGGATACAAAATCCTCATCAGCATCATTACTTTTTTTTTCAGTAATTACCCTACTGCTGCCAATATTACCAAAAAGAAAACGTTAAATACTGAAAAGATCCAAAGGGGTGAGGTTCTTGAAACAAAACAATTTGGGTAAGTGTTGACAATACTTTTTCAAATACTCATCAGATAATTCTAAAATTCAAGACTCTAAGACCAAGACAAAATGTAACAGTATCGGGAGCTAAGTTGGCATCAGTCATACATTGCAAGTTATGTTATACTGTAGAAACATCTGTTCATGTAAAATGTTGTCATTTCTTTTCTTAGAAAGATGAAGGGAAGAGGGAGATATGATAAGAGAAATGGAAATGGTAACTGGAAGAGAAAGCATTCAGATAGTCCTGATTGTCAGGATAATAAGAAAAGGAAGACAGATTATGAAAAAGTACATATTAGTATTGTTATCATAAATGTAATTTTGCTTTTTGATTCAAAATCAGTTAGGATATGTTGACTGTCAGGAGTGTGAACATGAAGAATTTATTTCTAGCCTTGAAGGTCAATAACATTTGAATCTTATGCTTTATTTCACTTTCACAAATGTTTTTTCTGTAAGATTTGTTTCATTGGTCAATTGCTATAAATGTTTCTGTTTACAGAATGAATCTTTAACAGATAAGAAAGAAGATGAAGCTATCCGAGTTGACGATCCTCTTTCTATATTAATACATTCAGCTACACCACCAATCAGCAAAGATTTAAGTAGGTTTTATTTCTACCATGATTTGTGCATTGTATTTTTGGATGACATAAGTCACATTGATTGTCAGAGCATTCTTTTTTACAAAACTCATATTTTTACAGAATTCATCACAGACAGTGAGTATGTGTGTTGTTTACAACTTGAAAAATAACACCAAATTACTTTATTTATAGATGCAGAAAGTAATAATGATACATCAGAGAAACAGTCTGTAGGGTTAACATCTATATTAACTTGTTATGGTAGTGATACAGATAGTTCAGGTTTGTTATATTAGATACATCAGAGAAACTTTTTTTTTATATAGTAAATGGCCACCATTAAGAACTTGAATCTGAAACTCTATAAATCATAAAGGATTATATCCATGATAAAATTTAACTCATTACAATTATAGATCATGATGAAGAAGTGACAACAGGACCATCAGATGATAAACAGATAAAAGAAATTCCTACAACAATATATGGTAAATGTATAGACACTATTGAGAATAAAACTGCTACAGCCTGTAAAGCTGATGATATAGAAAATAAAGAACAGAATAAAGAAAGTGGTAATTCGAAAAGGAAAAGAAATAGGAATAAAAAGAATGCTACTTATAATAATGAACCCAGGAAAAAGAAACCATCTCTACTAGAAATGGTAGGTGTTACTCAGTATCAGTAGAATTGGAAAGATAATGCACACTTTTTATACGCCCACATTAAAATGTGGTCGTATATTGTCGTCGCCCCTGTCTGTCCACAATTGGCTTGTGAATGCAATAGAGACAACAGTTTTTATCTGATTTGAATGCTATTAGGTGTGATCATTTATATTGATGAGATCTTGAACAAGTTTGAATTTGACGATCTTTCGATGAACTGTTTTTGAGTTATTGCCCTTGATTTATCAAAAACGCATTAAAATTTGTTTGTAAACACAATAGAGAGTACAGTTTGAAAATGCACATTTTTAATTTTTCTTATTTCAGTTATTGGCAAAAGAGATACGACATGAAAGAAATGTTATTTTACAGTGTGTACATTATATTGTTAAAAAAACTTTTTGAAGATGGAAAATCTTAATATCATTCAAATAAACAAAAATAAACTTTATCATAATGTTATTTCTTAGAAATACAGAAAAAAATGGATTGCCCCCAACCCTGAAAAAATTCTGATAACCCACCAATTCCATTACTGCAATTAAACACCATACAATAGTGCCCCTCTGGAACTATCAAGTCTGACTACGGGCCTGTTAGTCAAGGCTGTATTTCATCGAGATTCAATAAAACAAAATTGTTGTGCAAGAGATTGCCAATAGCAATTGATATGGGACACCATATTATTATATCACAATGATGAATTGTCTGAATGTAAAACGGATATAGCACGAGTAATTGACTACGAATCGTAGTCGTCTACATGTAGGCCTTACCTTCCAATTGAGCTTAATTTCCTCTATCGGATTCCAGCCAAACTCGCTTGAATTTTAAATCTTTTAAGTTCCTCGAATAGTTGAAAACTGCTCCAATAGCTGGTAAAGCAACCATACAGAATGCTTATACATGTAGTTGTACATCTGTGTAAGGCCTTACTATTTATACACCCACATGAAATGGGTGGCGTATATTTCCGTCACCCATGTCGGCTCGTCCACAATTGCTCGTAAACACACTACAAGGCATAATTCGAAAAATAATTAGTATGAGTTATTGCCCTTGTTCTTGAAAACTCGTTCAATTTTAGCTTGTAAACACAATAGAAGGCACAATTCTTGACGGATTTTGACGAAACTTGTTGTGTTTATAATCACCAAAGGATGAACCATATCGAAAATCAGAAAAATTGAAACTTATTAAATATTAGTTATTGTCCTTGTTCTGGAAAACGCGTTCAATGTTGAGCTCGTAAAAACTCCAGAAGGCACAAATCTTGACCGATTTAGATGAAACATGAAATGTGTAATTATTAATTACATAAGAATGAACCATATCGAAAATCAGAAGAATCGAAAAATAATTAGTATGAGTTATTGCCCTTGTTCTTGAAAACGAGTTCAATTTTTAGTTTGCTGTTCTGAAAAACGCATTCAAGTTTTAGCCTGTAAACACTCTAGAAGGCCCAATTCTTGACAGATTTTGATAAAACTTTGTAATATCATTCAAAAAGTTCAAAAGAAGTGTATGACTGAAGGTTGAATATATCATACTGGTGATTGTTACTGTATTGCCAAATATATTTATTTAAAATCAAAGCTGCCAGTGGGCGTATATTACCTTGCCTGGCAAGCTATCTTTACTTATTCCGAACTTCCATACACAAATATCAGATGAAATATCAGATCAAAGCTAATGACTGTACTGATATAACCTAATGATATTGAAAAACAGTGATCAGAAGACAGATGTCAATTGTGTACCTCCGAAACCTTTTATGATTTTATAATTTATCTCCGTATTTGACCCCCGTTATCACATTTTAAATGGAGACAGCAACACTTTGCTCTTGATTATTTGGCGTAATGTACAGTAATGGCCTTATACAATGCACAAAAGAAAGAAGTTTTAATACCAGTAATTACAACCGCGCCTTCCCCATTTATTATGTCATGGGTTTATTTCGTTAACTTAGAGAATTCATTTCTATTAATAATTTGAAGAAAAGACAGTGTCGATTTATTTTGTATAATTTGAAATATCTGTATCATATTCTGGAGAGTTGAATCAAGTGGTCCATGGATCCGATGTATTGTATCGGCTTGAACTCTCCTTTATATTTACGATTGTAACAAGAAAATACTTTTGGCAAAATGACCATCACCTACTCTATTGATCTTTTTCCAAAAAAACATGTTCAAATCACACATCAGTTCACACATATCTAATAAAAGATACAGAGCTCAATAAGTTGTACTCGAATGATTTATGACTGGTGTAGGTCAAATTGTACATTATTTTATGATTAGGTAACACTTGTAACACAATGTCTACAACTCAAGTCTGTCATTCAACATTTACTGTCCAGTAATCATCATCAACAATACATAGACTGTCATTAATCCGTTCTTTCTTATTTATGTCCCTTAAAGGACTATAATACTGACCACTGGAAATTTCTGAATTTAGTACACACGAGGAACTCCGATATGAAATGTAGCATAGTTTGATACAGTCAGTGGAATTAAAGTATAATCACAATGAGGTTCATAGATATCCAAATATTGGTCATTCTTGGCTCAATGTTATGTGTTGCTACTATGGTAATTACGTCTACTAAAGAGGTAAGAGGAAACAACTTTCAACAATTGTTTTCAAAATTCGCTTTGTTTTTATACTAATCATATTCGTTGTTGAGATAGTGCTAAATAAGTGAAAAATAGATAAGTATAATGGACATTTTCTCTTTGAATATGATCTATATTTTGGCTCCAACTTGTTTACTTGTGTCCCAATGAAAAGCTTACACAACAGCCAGTACCAGAAAGCGTATTTTAAAGTGGTTCAGACATATCTCTATGGATTCCGCCAACGATTCCTGGTTTAAGATCAATATTCGAGCCTTTGTTCACTTCGCTCATGGTGCTCATGGAACTCGCTTGATCACACTGTTCTTCTACTTTTTTCTAAAACTGCTCAAAACACTTTGGTCACATTTGTTTTCACAATAGCATGAACCAGTAGTTCAATATTGACACCAAATAGAAGATATTATACCGTTTAAATATTTATTTTACTATATATAAGAGATTGTTTTCTTAAGACACTCGTTACTCTTGCTATCTCAAGCAATTGTCTTAGTTAAGTATGAGTGAAATTCGTAACAGATAATCTTATCAAACCGATCTGCGTGTATAGTGCACTACCCTTTGAAGTGTTTGCCAAAATAGAAGGCACACATTATGAAAAAGCATTTGAATATTTCACCAAAGGTTCCCAAATCAACATTGACGATCCGCCACTTTGTAATTGGTCGATATAAAAAGGTGATAATATGGAAGACCTTACCCCACATGGTAAAATCGTATTTATGTCACAATATTCTTGTTGCTTATATTTATAATTGTCTTCTGCTGTGGATTTCAAATTATAATTAAACTGTAACCTTTTAAGGTACCATGCGAGATTTTACCTAATGGTGTAATAGCTATTACTGGTGAAGGTCCAAATGGTAAAATCAAGAGGTCTGAAGAAGCTACCGTAATTAATAGGACTATGTGTACTATACCAGTCTATTCACCAGTTGTAAGAATAGCTCAGAAGACCCTAGATCAGGTTTTTGAAGAATCAAACATCCCTGGTAGGTTGGTAAAATATTTCCCAAATTACCGGTAAATGATAGTTTAGCCAGTTTTATTTCCTTCTTCCCTAATTCTGACAGGACTAATAGAAAGGTCATTCACTTTTCTAACATTCAACTATCGTATGTAATCCTTGGTAAAAATTCAATCGACAAGACGGTTTTTCTTGTCAGCCATTCGACCTTCATTAAGAAAGGGGGGAAATTGAGTGGGTGCATTATCATGATTTCAAATTATTCCCAGTAAGAATAATAAACGGGATACAAGTTTTATCCCAATTTATCAAAATTAAAATAAAACTGTTTAGTACCAAAGATAGGTTACATTTTTAGTTGGTTACTAAGATGCTGTTGGTAGTCTGTAGTTATAGGATAACGACCATCAGCAACCAGCGCAAAAATTTCAAAAGCTTTATCGAAACACCAATTGCAATTTGGTGACACATGTTGTACTAGAATAAGTCCATATAATATCTTATTCTGATTATAATTGAAATTTTTGTTTTAGTTACAAGTAAGAATGATACAGTAGGAAAGAACGAATCTTTGTGTAATGGAGTTATGCTTGATTTAGATATGTGTTTATCAAATCAACAGGCCTCAGTGTTAGCAGTTGATACACCAGCGTAAGTAATCGTAAGAACTCTGAGAACTCATATATACCATTTGTATGTTTCGCTTCTCAAGAAATCACTGCATGTGTTGTGTTTTCGAAAGTCAGCACAAAAGCCTTGAAGTCTGGTCATTCCATTTTGCTAATCTGTTGGCTGCGCATGATAGTTCTGATAAATGACCATCTAAATATTACCATAATATGTCATTCTTATTGTATCTCTATGTTACCGTTTTATTATTGTTTATTATTATCATTATTTCTGTCTTGTAGTAATACTGGAAAAGGAAAAAGTAAACGTCTGATAAGAAAGAAAAGAAAGATTGTTAGTGATGTTACTGCTAGATGGCCAGAAAATACTATTCCTTATGAAATACACGAGTCCGACTTCTGTAAGTATCTTTATTTCAGAACAGAATTTATTGGGGGTTAGGTTAGGTTATTTACTGATTCTATTTTCAAATCTTAAAATAAGGTCTGCCAATTTGTGGCTGCTGTCTACACGTCGCGGGAGAATATTCACTAATTATAGATTAGTTTAAATGCTGTAATTCTTGTTAAGGATCTATTGTGGTGGTTTTCAGAGGGATTTTGTCACTTTTGTGACAGTTCTAATGACTAACACCCAGAGGGAGATGTCATGTTCAATGAACGAGCGACAATTTGTTCAACATAATTAGGACATTAATGTCATCATTGTTAACTCTAAAATTTCGGACATTACTTGATTTATGGCCATTTATAAAATGTTGCACATATTTATGATGATTATGACAACGTGACAAATTCTCTCGTAAGACCTTTAAAGGTAGCTTTAGGGGTCTTAATTTGTCATACATGCTTCAAAATAGGATCGAGGATTGTATAAATTCTTAAAATCGCGTGGTAATTTCAGCGTACAAGATCCAGTAGTGAAGTTCCAAAGGTTAAATTCGCGTTCTGCGATCTACAAAGTCTACGGTTAAAATTAGATAGGAGATAAAACACGTAAAAATACTTTAATTTTATAAGATTAGTGATTTCTACATAAGAAATGACCACGCGGTTTTAAGAATTTATACAATCAGATCTGGATCCTATTTTGAACCAAATACAGCGCCATACAAAAGTAGGTTATCTGATGAATTCTCAAAATACATAAGCTCAGTGCACTATTTTAGATTGGTATACATTTGTATATTTTTACTTCTACGATTGGTGTTTGTTTCATATATTCTAAAAATGGCTTTATCTTTATGTTTTTCTATATTGTAGCCATTATGGAACTTAAAACTATTATTGATGCATTGACAGAATATGAAATGAAAACTTGTATCATCTTTAAACCTGCTACCCCAGAAGATAAAAATAAGCTCGTGATAATGGGTGGTCGGGGGTAAGTATCAAATACAAATACTCATAAATGGTGCTTTTATGTTACGATATATAATAAAATTGTTTTTTTATACACCTACATGGAATTGTCCTTATGACAACAATGAATATTTTTGTACTTAAACCATATAAATCGACCCATACTTCCACACTCCTGTCAGTACGTGATTTAAGTCAGTAAATGGTAAGGATATGAAGTCGTTGACTATCTGAAATCTTCAACAACATCTTTTCTTTTTTTCTAGATGTTATTCAAATATAGGAATGATAGGCGGAACTCAGAGGTTGGTTTTAGATAGAGGCAACTGTAGGAAGGCAAGTTAATTTAGTCGGTGTCGATGTTAGTAGGTCTGCGATATAAAGAGTAGTATCGCAGTCACAGAGTTATATTATAAGAACAACTTAATGTGCATTATGTACTTGTACGTATTTTTGTCAGAGGTTGCTCAGACGCTCCAAGTACTGTATATTATATTCATCTAAAACCTGGTAAAAGTAAGCATGTTCGGAATAGATATATGTGGCTGATTAATGAAATGATGCGCTGTAGACTATTTTTCTACTCATTTATACTCATGGGAGTATCTTACTTTGTCAGTAATTGTCTAGAGTCTGAAACTCTCGATGCTTGTTGTTCTTTTTGCAGAGGTTCAAATGCCAAATAAACTTGTTTTGTTTTCTTCAGAAAAGAGTCATTATGCACGAATTAGGCCATGCTATTGGTATGGTACACGAACATCAGCGATATGACAGAGACAATTATATTACTATTGTCAGAGAGAATGTACGCCCAGCTGTTTTAGATCAGTTTAAAAAATTCTCTAGGAATGTGGTAGATATTGGTTCAGTGCCATATGACTACCTGTCTATTATGCATTATGGTAAAAGTGTAAGTAATTTGTCAAAGTTGTTTTAATACTTCGAAACATTTTTTTGATGTGGATAATCGTTTTACTCTGATTAATGATAAGGTTAGCTGAAACTGAACTGTGTACGCTGTTAATTCTGTGAAACAGTGAAAATATTTTATTGAAAGCTGTTAATTCTATAGAACTGTAAATTATTCAAATAATTCGGACACAAAACAATCGACAATACTTCAAATATTTTCTCTTCTCAATATGATTTTGTTATACTGTTACTAGAGTTAAATTTCCTGACAATTGTTATCATTCGATGTAATTTGTTGGCTATTTATTTTATGGCCGAGTCAATGAAACCTCAGTAATGTTTTGATATTGATATATACCTTAGCTGAACACAATAAAATGTTTGTTTTCCAGTTTTTCTCTGCCGATGGATTTAGTACAACAATTCGAACAAACAACCCTAATTATCAAGATTTAATTGGTCGAACCGAACAACTATCGTTTATTGATGTAAAAGCCGTGAATTTGATGTACAGATGTAATGGTGAGGAAGAACAGCCTGAATATTAACAATTTTAACAGGTAGAATTTGAATTGAACCATTGATAAAATTAATAGGTTTCCTGGACTAGAGACCGATATTTGGCAATTTTTTTGAAGACTTATTCAATTCAGATTTTGCTACATATGTCATTTGTTGAATATAATCTTAACATCTTACTATCATCGTATAATCACCTTCATTATTGTACTATAACAGCATCAGAAACCTGGTCTCATATGATATATATTGGTATAGAAAAACAACAATTGTATATATTCATCAGTTGAACTTACCACTTACCATGACTAAAGAATAGAATCTCTATATAAGATGATATTAAACTAAACAATTATTGAAAAACGCTTCTAAGCTTACTTAGATTTATTGGTTAATAGAGGGATTCTGTTGTATAGTTATGACACCATATAAGTCCACTGATGAACAAAGACTCATTGTTAATTTTTTTAAAAATTTGTGTGGCCATCATAAGAGTTTAACATAGATTAATCAATTAACCAGATTTACAGTGTAGAGAGTAGGCCTAATCCTGATAGCGGATAATAAGCTCAATAAAATTTAGACGACAGAACATATTTAATATGATGGGCATCAAAATTCTGACCTTGGTTTCGAATCCTGTAAGCTTATATTGTGTTTTGATTTACTATATTTGTATTCGTCCTCATCTATTTATCTGGGCGTAAATTGTCGGCACCTGTGTCCATCTGTCGGTTGTCCGTTCACATACGTTCTAGAATTTACTGTTTTTCATTGGTTTTGATATTATTGAAACTGCTACAGTTTTAAAAAGATTCTGATGACATTTGTATTTGTATAAAGAAAGGTATATGACCAAATAGGAAAGATCGAGTGTGGAAATTCTCGTTCCACAAACCACATGTCAAAGCTATTTTGACGTGATCCACTATCCACTATCTTGATGTTTATATTTATTTGAATATTATAATCATATTTGATATACAACAAACTGATCAATGTAAATTAATAACAGTCCGTATTAAATTAAGGCTATATTTTATTGTTTTTCAGCCCGATGCCCTGATGCTAAAAGTATTCGATGTCCTAGTGATGGTTATCAAGATAAATTTTGTGTATGTAGATGTAGTGATAGCTCAAAATGTGGAAAATCTGCCGGTTATGGACATTCTTATGGAACACCACTCGCTATAGCATCAAAGAATGGTCCATATTATAAAATCCAAAGCCCAATCCGGTCCGATATAATTCAAAGAGCACCACTGACTCGGGCACAAATTGAAGCTCTAAATGGACCACAGACTCAACACCAGGAAGCATTTATTCAGCATCCAGATTTTCACCAAATTGTTCATCAACCGTCTTTCTTTCAACCATCATTTGGAAATATTTTATCGCCTTTCCAAGAACCATTTTTTCAGCCACAACCATTTGATATTTCGACTAATCAACAACCGTTTTATCAAGTGTCAAATCCCAAAACAGTAAACGTGCCTGTGCAATCACAAGTGGCACAAGAATCCGTCACTCCTCAACCCGACCCACTGTCATCTACCCAAAATATAATCAATGATTCAAATCTGAACCACAATAAGAGTGTACAGAAAAGTTTAATTCTAGGTGCACAAAATCAAGAAACTGCTGCCACGCCATCAAGCATCGACATCAATGACCAATTATATACGACTGATGCAGCATCTCAACAAGATATGTTGGCAAATTTAATGACCTCAGGCATTGGATTTGAAGTTGTGGTTGGTCCACAAGATAACATGACACCAAATGATCTTGTGTTAGATTTGTCACAGATTAGTCAAGATCAACAACTGTTAATCCTTCAACAACTGCAGCTCCAACAAAATGATTCCATGTCAATCTCAAGTACAAAAGCCACTTCAAAACCCGAACCTTTAATAATGACAACGCCAACTATAGCTTTGCTAAATGAATCAACTTCAGTATCAAATTACTCCAAACCTAAACTACAGTCAGCCGTAAAAGAAGCATTAGAACAGATTAAATTAGGGTCGAGTGTTATACAACAACAGCAACTGGAGGCACAACAGCAGGTGCAGCAATCAAAACAACAGAAAAAGCAACAAAATCAGAAACAACTAAATAAGCAACATCAAGCAATCCAAGAAGAACAGCAAACAATCCAAGAACAGACTCAACAATTAAAACAGCAGAAAGGGCTAGAAGAACAAACCACAGTTATACAACAAGTAATTGGTACACTAATTAAAGAACCACAAAAGCACAAATTACAGCATTCACAGGAGCAACGACCTGATATAAAAACTGAGTCTGTTATACATGCAGACAAAGTACAAACGATTCTTTCAAATGATATAAAAAATCAACAACAAAAATTACACCAGCAAAACATGCAGCTTCATATTGACGTCCTACATCAACAGCAAGAAGCTATCAAAGATCAAGCCGGTTTTCAATCAACTCCACCAACATTACGACAACATAAAACCATCGTAGTGTCAACTAAGTATCAGGAAACACAAGCACTAACGAAACAAATACAGCAACAACAACAACAAATACAGCAACAACAACAAGCAAAAACCCACAAAACAACAACATTTTACTAATCCTTCACCTTCAACAGTTTTGGAGCAATCTAAGTCACCTCAACTTCAACCAACAGTACCAAAGCAGAAAAGGAAACAAACCATAACCACCATACAACCAACTCCAGTTCCGGAAAAATCACAAAAAGCTAAGCTACAAAAGTCAATCGTAAAACAAGGCGAGCAACAGCAACAAGAGATCAAGGCTGTGCAATGGAAATTTCCTTTACAACCTAAAACCAATTTTGAGTCAACAAAGTTTCCGAAACCACCATCGGCTGCACCGTTTTTACAGAGTAAGACTCAAACTAAAATGATAACACCGGCAATTCAGCCAACTATTGTTCCGGCACAACCACAAAGAATTGAGCTACAAAAGCTAATGGTAAAACGAGGTGACCAACAGCAACTAAAGGTCAAAGAAGTTCAACAGAAGTTTCCTTTGAAACAGGATACTTTTACTACAAAGCCAACCAGGTTTCCAAAACCACCATCGATTGATAGGCAAAAGAAATTGACCTCACAGCCACTTCTACATAGAAGCATTCAAACTAAACTGATAACACCAATGCTACAAGAAGAAGACCGTGAACAGCAATTTTCGAACAATAACGTAAGCCAGAATGGTCGACAACAACCTGTCACACAGGCACCTCCAGTAACAAAACAGTTCGAGGGTCGGAGCCAACGAAACCAAGAAGTACTACAATTAATTAGTCATCCAAAGCAAGTTAAACAACAGAACATACAACTTCCAAAACAACTATCAACAGAATCCCATTTAACATACACACATCAAGTAAGAGAACAACAGCAAACGACACCATTGAGTCCAACACGATCACAACAAACACAATTCCATCAAGCTAGTCAAAGCCAAATTAATAGAAAACAAATGCACCACCAACAGAAATTACAAGAACATGGCTTGTCCAGTTACAAAAAGAAACATTTTCAACATGGTGCAAATGAAGCACAGCAGATTATATTGCAACGACAAAAACAAAGACAACAACTTTATCAAAAGCCCGAGCTTCAACAGCAACAAAATCGACAACAACATCAACAACAAAAACAGCAACAGAAACAGGAACAACAACAACAAGTTAAACAGTCTGTACTAAAACGAGTGTCCGATAGTAAGAAAATGCCAAAACAGAAGAGACAACCAGCAAGACAACAATTTCTCCAACAACAACGACGTCGACAACATCAGCAACGACAACTAAAAAGACAGCAAGAACAACAACAAATACAACAACAACAACAAGTAATAAAACCAGAACTAGTACAAAAACACCAAGTACTGCGACAACAGCAACCATCTGCAAAAAAACGATTGTCTGAAAGTACAAATATGTACAGACAGCAAGCAAACCAACAATTTATTCAACAAAAACGACAACAACAAAAACAAAAACAAAAACAAAAACAATTACGACAACAACAAAATGTACGAAAACCAAAACACGTACAACAACAGAAACCATCTGAAATAAAGCGATTGTCCGAGAGTAAGAAGATACCACAGCAGTACAGACAACAAGAAAAACAACAATTTTTTCAACAACAAGTACGAAAGTCACAAGTACAACAACAAAAACCATCTGAAAGAAAACGATTGTCCGAAGGTAAGAATATGCCAATGCAGAAGAGACAACAAGCAAGACAACAATTTTTTCAACAACAACGACAGCAACAACAGCAACAGTCTGTAATAAAACAATTGTCCGAAAGAAAAAATATACCAACGCCTCAGAGACAACAGTCTAAACAACATGTTCAACAACAACCACTAAGAAAACCTGGGTCGTCACATCTATCTACAAGACGTCCAATGAAACAACCAAATCATCAGCTTTTGAAGACAAATTTCATTCAAAACGGAACCCAACAGCTCCAACTTCAACAGCAATCTAGACAATTACAGCTCCAACTTCAACAAAAGCAATTAAAATTACAATCACAGAAGAAACAAATTGAACTTTTGCAAAAGAAACAATTATTGCAATCTAAACTACGTCGGCATAAGATTGCTCGTCAATCAAAATTGATTCAGTTGTCACAAGAGAATAAATTTAAAGAAAGGTCTTCTAAACCTAACATTCAATATCCCAAGAATATCAGAAAGATGATTGATAATACAACAGAAACTCAGAAACATCAGTCTGCAACTGTAGTAGGTTCCAGCCAAAACCGTTTACAGACAACAGCAACCAAAAGCAATGGCCGTCCACAAATTAAGATAGAAATTCAGAATAGAAATCAACATAACATTCAAGTTAACTTGAAACAATCACCAAAGACTCATTTAGCCCTGGGGCAGAATAATATTCGTAAACCAATTGCATTCAGACAACAGGGAGTGGCTTATTCCAAACAAAATTCTATAAATAGACCTATTCAACTTAAGACTAAACTACCATCACCCATAATCACTAAAAATAGCCAAAATGGAAAACAAAGGAGGCTTGGGCGTGTGCTAAATCAGGGCAAATTTTCAACTCAAACTACAAAAAATCAGAAAATTATAAAACTGCTGCCAAACCGTGGAAATGTTAGCCGCAGAAGAAAACAACAGGTTAATACACGACCACAATTAAAGCCACTGAAAACAAACAATAAAGCCAAACAAACGACCACTTTACAGAAAAATCAAAGGACAGTTGCCACTCGCCCTCAATACAACACACGCAGTCAGATATCAAAAACAAAAACGGCTGCTGTAAAGGAAGTTAGTAAGATCCAACCAATTAAAGGTAATGTAGCACCAATTCAACAGAAAAAAGCAAATTTTAGCTCACAGATCAAGAGTAAACAACGCTTGCCTCAAGTAGCCAGAAGAAAATTATTAGTGCGTCTGAACTCTAGAAATCTTCAACAACAGCGATTATTGAAAACACGCACAAAGTCGAAATCTTCGAATAGAGTTGAGCAAAATAGAAATCGAAAAATTGGCATACTGAGAGTTCTAAAACCCCGTCCGAATAACAGAAGTAACACGGGACAACTATCAAGGAGTACTTGGACCAGAGGAATACAGCAACCACAACGCGGCCTTTGGGGATCTTTACCATTCTATGCTGTTGGAAGATATCCCTCAGAGAACGAATCAACTATGGCAACAGGAATACCCGAAGTTCAAATCTATCCCTCTGGTAATGATGCAAACGATATTGCAGCAGTTAGTTTGGGAAAATCAACTACAGCACTACCCAAAACACCACAACCCCTGAATGTTGTGAGGCTGACTACGGTTTAAATCATCTCTATCTTCCACCTTGTAATAATATGTCTCTATTATATATATATGTAAATTTCTAGATTTGATATACAAAATAAATGGTTTTTGGTTATTTTTTATGTTTTCCATATATACTGAGACCGTTGCATATAAGCTGTAAATTTGTATATTATAGATATAAACATAAATGACGTTCTTTGGGTCCAAATAACTTCTATCCCCAAAGATATTTTGTTTCGTATATTTCGCTCATTCAATGGAACTAATCAATCCCAACAATGGTGATTAATTGGACAGCTTCGCCATCCGTTAGACCAATCGAATCTTGATCCCAAAATTATCCGCGTTAGAATGTTGAATCGTCTTTTCTTAAGACTCTGTGATATATAGAAAAGACATTGAAAAGTTAACTTCATAGTTATTAGGTATTATTGCAGTAATTATGCGATTTTCGTACATTTCTTTTACTTTTGTTGACTATTTACATGTTTTCAAAGACCAAATCAACCTCTGAAAATGACGAGTCTCTCCTTTCAAGCTCTTGCTAAACCAAGCATTTTATCACTAAGAGTTGAATTGGCGAACGAAACGTAACGTATAAAATTAAATGTCGTCAGATCAAAAATGAGAAAAGTAACCTCGGATACAACATAAAACGTATCTCTAATCTAATTTTGGCGCTACTTTGTGTTAGCAGACATGACATGAACGGTTATATAATCTCTCTCTTTTACTCGTATCGATATAGAAAAGTAAAATTGTGAAAATATATATGGCTATTGTGTTATTGCACCCACCACCTTCCCCTTCTAACACAAACACTTATTTAATTAATTATGATTTATTTTCAATCTTGAATGTTCATTGGACTAATATTCTTCACCTTCGCCTTCGTCTTCTTCGGCCCCATCAACACCAACTTCTTCATAATCTTTCTCTAGAGCAGCTAAATCTTCTCTAGCTTCAGAGAATTCACCTTCTTCCATGCCTTCACCAACATACCAATGTACAAATGCTCTCTTAGCATACATCAGATCAAATTTATGATCGAGACGTGCCCACGCTTCAGCAATAGCAGTGGTGTTGCTCAACATACAAACAGCCCTCTGGACCTTAGCCAAATCACCTCCTGGTACAACAGTTGGTGGTTGGTAATTGATACCAACTTTGAAACCGGTTGGACACCAGTCAACAAATTGGATGCTTCTCTTGGTCTTGATGGTAGCGATTGCAGCATTGACATCTTTAGGAACAACATCACCACGGTACAACATACAGCAGGCCATGTATTTACCATGCCTAGGATCACATTTCACCATCTGATTAGCTGGTTCAAAGCAGGCGTTAGTGATTTCAGATACAGATAGTTGTTCGTGATAAGCCTTCTCGGCAGAAATAACTGGTGCATAAGTTGCCAAAGGAAAATGAATACGTGGATAAGGTACAAGGTTGGTCTGGAATTCGGTCAGGTCGACATTCAGTGCTCCGTCAAATCTCAAAGAAGCTGTAATTGAGCTTACGATTTGTCCGATCAGCCGGTTAAGGTTGGTGTATGTTGGTCTGTCGATGTCCAAATTACGACGACAGATGTCATAGATAGCCTCGTTGTCAACCATGAAGGCAACATCAGAGTGCTCCAATGTAGTATGAGTAGTTAAGATGGAATTGTAGGGCTCAACAACAGCAGTTGAAACCTGGGGTGCTGGATATATTGAAAACTCGAGCTTTGATTTCTTTCCGTAATCTACGCTCAGTCGTTCCAACAGTAAAGATGTGAATCCAGAACCGGTCCCCCCACCAAAACTATGGAACACCAAAAATCCTTGAAGACCAGTACATTGATCAGCCAATTTTCTTACTCTGTCTAATACAAGATCAATAAGTTCTTTACCAACAGTATAATGACCTCTGGCGTAGTTATTAGCAGCATCTTCTTTACCAGTGATAAGTTGTTCTGGATGGAACAGTTGACGATATGTACCTGTTCGTACTTCGTCTGAAATAATAAAAATAGGTAAATCATTAATAAATGATGTACACCTTGAACATGAATTGCATAATAATAAGTCAGATCATGGTTTTTAACTTGAGTCATCTAGAGTAAAGGAACGAAACGTCCTGATCTACATTTCACTTTTCAAATTGTATTTAGCAAAGGTGTAATGCAAACATTCTCAAAATAATGTTTGTTCAATACAGGCAGTTTTCATTTTTTAGTAACGCATAGCGGACCTTACTTACCAACAACACTAGGTTCCAGGTCTACGAAGATTGCTCTTGGTACATGTTTACCAGCTCCGGTTTCGCTAAAGAAAGTGTTGAAGGAGTCATCTCCACCACCAATAGTTTTATCGGAAGGCATCTGACCATCAGGTTGAATACCATGTTCTAAACAGTACAACTCCCAACAGGCATTGCCCATCTGACATCCGGCTTGGCCAACATGGATGGAGATACACTCACGCTGAAAAAGAAAATTGTACATGTATATACTTATTATAATATATAGACTGGCTATAGAAATTCCATTTTGATTTCTGATATTTTTACACTTCATTGTAATCTAGTAAAATGTCTGCCCCAGCCCCGTTATCATTATTTTAACCGATCAAAGCGAGTTATGTAAAATCCGTTTCTGCTTAACAAGGACGAATTTTGGGATAGTAAATTTAGTTGTAGGAACCGTTTTTGGTAAAAAACTATTAAGAGTACGATGAAGATGAAAAAAAAAAAAACACAGAAAGGAAACGAAATTGTAATGTAACTTTAATTGGAATTTCACACTGAAATGAGTTACTATATATAATTAAATTTGTTTTGTAAAATCAATATTCCATGATGATATCTGCTCGGCTGATGAAACTGATTATTATTAAAACAACGGTTCCTCCTAGCAACTAAATAACACATCATAATAAAGATTCTGAAGTCCACTCATTATTGTTCAATAATAAAACATGCTTTAAGTTGATGTGGTTCACAAGAATCAAATTGTTTTTTATTCACTTTACTAAATGTTTGGGTACTCAACTCAACTTCGTTGAGCATCAGCACCCAAATTGATCGATATTCTACATGCAATGATTTGAGATAGGATCTTTGCATTTTTCCGCCCTGCCATCACTGCATAAATCTCAAAGTATAATTGTTCAAAATCTGGATAAATAAATCAACAATTTGGCATGAAAAATTTGCGAGCCTTTCGTCATGCCCTACAAGATAATAATTGTTTCTAATCAATAAGCTGAATATTCAACCTGTGATCAGTGGAGCAAAACATATTTAGTCTGAACAAAGAAATGCTATAGCTATTATTTATATAGTAAACGTTAAATGAGCAGTAAGTCCACCAGAAATAGATAAAAAATAATTAATGCCTACTTACCATTTTTAAAGTCTTGGATGTTAGAGCTGGAGTAAAAAATTTGCTGAAATGAGATGCTGTTAATACAATGATCAACTGCAAAGTCTGTATTCCAACCAAACTGCAGCCAGCTATTTATATTTGTGATTTTATTATGAATCATTACCATGGTGACATCGATTCTTCTGAACGCCGACTTTAACGTATTTATATATTTATGATTATTGCCATATTTGGCAGATGGTTTATTTGATTATTTCCTAGATATGCTGCTTAGTTGCCAGTGGTTCCACAAAATGTTTACAAATACTGTGTATTGTCAAGAACAACTCACAATAACATCTTTAATCGAGAATTAAAGGAGATATATTAAATAAATGAATACTTTGCGAATATTTCATGAACAATACAACATATGAATGTCTTCGAGTGAATAGGAATATGAGGTTTGGAAATTTCACATTTGAAAAAAACAGAACATCCTCCCAGATATTGCCTGCGGAAATAACCACATTCCTGCTTAAAAATATCCGTAGAAAATTATATGATATTTGCTATTCATCAATCCCAAAACATTCTAATACCCCAGTAATATTTTGAGAGCTGACATACAAAACAATTGAAGAAATTAAATTCTATAAACATGGTAGTTTGTCAGTAAGACTAAGCTAAGGTTTGTCAATAATTTAAGCTAAGAAAATAGATTGTGTGATATCAAGATATTTAGAAACAATGAAGGTGCGTGTGACCCTTAATCAACCATATTTAAATATTTAATATGCCGTTGAATCTCGCTGTTGTTTCCCACATCAAAGATTCACAGAAAAATCGTCACAAATAGCTACATTTCTTCATTTCTGACATCAGCGCTACATCTACATAGCAACAATAAGTTATCACTGTCAGAGGGAGCCGCGGTGGTGGGTAGACACCTGCTCGCTAACCTGAAAGTCCAGAGCCCCAGCATAGATAATACCGAAAGATTTTTTATTTGATTCATGTCAGGGGGTCTGAAATGAAAAAAAGATGAGACAATAATACACTTTAATGATCCCTCCAAGGTTTTAAATCGAAAGAGATTAGGTTAATACACCTATCATGACGAAATTTTCCTTATTGCATATTGCATGACGTTGAACGTCTTCATTAGGCATATCACAGAAAACAGGCACAGAAAAGTGGGACGTAAAACTTTATTTCATTTCTCATTTTCGGCATAATTGTATTTGTTGCTTGTTAACTCAAACACTGTCTTTTTCGCAACACAATTCTGAATGAATTACTTCCCTTTAATGAATCGTGAGTAACATGTATTTTGACTGTTTCTACATACCTGTATGATGCTGTATAATCACGGTCAGTCCACTTGGGATAAAAATTTACTATTGTATAGAAGCATCAAGGAAGAATATTAAAGACTCGAAGGAGTATGAAACAGTGGTCATCAACGTATAATCTAAGTTAATATTTTCAGATTTCTATATGAACATTATACACAAAATTAATTTTTAGTTATTGACCCAGCATATGATTGATTAAAGTGACTAAGGCCTAACAAATGCAATCTTCCAAATCTACACCTATAATGATGTGCTACTACTTTCGTTGAATGAATGGATACACTTGTTTACAATTTTATTTTATTTCTTACAATCAATTTATTATGTAAAATAAACTTTAAATAAGAAACTTTTAATATTCATCATCTTCTTCGGCCCCATCGTCTTCTCCAGAAGCAACCTCTTCATAATCTTTCTCTAGAGCAGCTAAATCTTCTCTAGCTTCAGAAAATTCACCTTCTTCCATCCCTTCTCCAACAAACCAATGTACAAAAGCTCTCTTGGCGTACATAAGATCAAATTTATGATCAAGACGAGACCACGCCTCTGCAACAGCTGTAGTGTTGCTCAACATACACACAGCTCTCTGGACTTTAGCTAAATCACCTCCTGGTACAACAGTTGGTGGTTGGTAGTTGATACCGACTTTGAAACCAGTTGGACACCAGTCAACAAATTGGATGCTTCTCTTGGTCTTGATGGTAGCGATTGCAGCATTGACATCTTTTGGAACAACATCACCACGATACAGCATACAGCAGGCCATGTATTTACCATGTCTAGGATCACACTTGACCATCTGATTAGCTGGTTCAAAACAGGCGTTAGTGATTTCAGATACAGATAGTTGTTCGTGATAAGCCTTTTCAGCAGATACCACTGGTGCATAGGTTGCCAGAGGAAAATGAATACGTGGATAAGGTACAAGGTTGGTCTGGAATTCGGTCAGGTCGACATTCAGTGCTCCGTCAAATCTCAAAGAAGCTGTAATTGAGCTGACGATCTGTCCGATCAATCGGTTAAGGTTGGTGTATGTAGGTCGACCGATGTCCAAATTACGACGACAGATGTCATAGATAGCCTCGTTGTCAACCATGAAGGCAACATCGGTGTGTTCAAGCGTAGTATGGGTCGTTAAAATTGAGTTATATGGCTCAACAACAGCAGTTGAAATTTGGGGAGCTGGATATATTGCAAACTCTAATTTTGATTTTTTCCCATAATCAACGCTAAGTCGTTCCATCAATAGCGAGGTGAATCCAGATCCGGTTCCTCCTCCAAAGCTATGAAATACCAAAAAGCCTTGAAGACCAGAACACTGATCTGACATTTTCCTCATCTTATCTAGAACAGCATCTATTTGTTCTTTACCAACAGTGTAATGACCTCTGGCATAGTTATTAGCAGCATCTTCTTTACCAGTGATCATCTGATCTGGATGGAACAGTTGACGATAGGTACCTGTTCGTACTTCGTCTGAAATATTGAATATGATAGAGAAATCAATGAATGTGATTAAAAGCACAAAATGTCTTAATTTAAGGTTTTTTCTAGACAATATCGCCTTTGACCTGTAAATACTCAGATACAGAATTTAATAATGCTGGTAAATTTGTACTTACCAACTACACTTGGTTCCAAATCACAGAAAATGGCTCTAGGTACATGTTTCCCCGAGCCAGTTTCACTGAAAAAAGTGTTGAAAGAATCATCTCCACCACCGAGAGTTTTATCAGAAGGCATCTGTCCATCAGGTTGAATACCATGTTCTAAACAATACAACTCCCAACAGGCATTGCCCATCTGGACACCAGCTTGACCAATATGTACTGAGATACACTCACGCTGAAATAAGAGTATAACAAACTTTTAAAAAGATATTTTCTTAAAGCTCTTAAATTCAAGTCATTTTTTCACCAAATTTGAGCTCTACTATAATCAGCATTGTAGTTGGTTTAGCTAGCAAGGCAGGATAGACAAACACCCGGTGCCAATGTGCAACAGGATGTGGCAACTCGAACCCAAGTAATTCATTGGTAATTTTGTATATTTGTACTAATGTTTCGACAATATATTGTTTTGGATTTCAGGTTAGGTTTTGCAGTTTGGATTACAAGTACTTGGTTTATTTAATCATATTACCCCATTCTTATTTGATATACCAATTCCTATCACACCCTCCCCATTTTGACAATCTTGAAATTGTTTCATGATCTTAATTCAGAATATTGAGAAATGTGTATTTCGTGGTTTATTCTAGCAATTGCTATTAGATATTGGATATCAAATGAATAATACTTTGTTTGAATTATTGATTCAAATAGTATGGAATATTATGCTTTCACGATGAAAAATATTTTGATTTGTGTTAATACAGATAGCAACATTCTCTATGGTGACGTAGACAGAATGATGTAAAAATTGATTGGTTTTAATTGACTCTGTTGTTTTCGTCCTTTCATTTGTTTGATTTGAGTGTGCATCTTTCAGAGTTAGTGATGCGTGACAACACATTATCGATCCTTATCCTTTTGTCTTATTTTGTTTTTATAGTAAACTTATTACTGTGTATTGACCCTTCAAAGCCTTTCTCCTACAGTTAAGATTGTAATTGCTCTTGTTGAACAAAAGTCACTATGTACAAAAACACCATATATCTTATCTTATGTAATTTAAAAAAAAAACACGTACTACCGATCCAGACCCAAAAACGAAACCGAAATATGCATTCATTTGTGTTAATCTTCTCTTCAAAACAAAAATAAGTCACTCTTAATGTTAAACACCTCACATATGATCTAAGTAAATCATGACACGCATAATAAGTAAGAAATCGTTGCGACCCTCAATAGTTATCTACACGCGCCCGAATTTTGAAATTTGGATACTAATTTGGCTACACATCGGCACATTGATAAAAACAGAGATCACACGAAAACATATCAATTTTACAATGTCCTGAGTCAGCCAAATTAAAAGGACCTTTTTGGTGAAAAAAAAATTCGCTCATTTTTCTTTGACTTGTTTCTGTGGTGTTTTTTTTTCGACAGAACACCATGTTATTTATTTTTATCAAATTTATGAGCTATTGTCGTATCTATCACTTTAAAGAATCAATATAAAACAAAATTATTTAACCTACCATTGTGGCGAATTATTAAAGTCTCGACGATCTGTTATAGGCTGATGATGAAGTGAGGTTCATCCACTGCTCTGATGTTGCCAATTGATGGAGACATCCTTTAATAGCATGGAGCGTTGTAGATACAGTCGTTATGACAACCTCCAATAGCACCATCATAATATACAATTTCACGATCAGTCAATATTAATTTTTTACTTAAGATGTATTCAATAAAATATGTCGCGCATCCTTCATCCCTTGTTTTAACAGGTTGATGACGACCGTTGCTAACCAGAAACTTGAAATTGTCAACAATAAATTCCATCTTGATCAAAGAAAAACTGGGAGAGCGTGAAGCAGTAACTTTTCTACAATGGAATAAAACAATGAGGATGCCCATTAGAAGTGAATGATTAATATTAAGATCCAACAACTTCATCTGGGATAAACAATAGTATAGATTTTCTCTAACAACTTCATTCATCTCAACCTGCCTATTGTTTTTCAAATTTTACTAAACGACCCTTTCGACCAAATGTCTGCAATCTTCTACCGAGTCAATATTTGAAGAGTAATTGATTGAGTCTGTAAACTAGATATATGAATGTTATTTTCTCACAATATTAGTTCAAGTGAATATCATGCTATTTACATTTAAGTTGCCACTTTTCTAAACATAGTGCTTCAATGTAGATATTGTTTTTGTATATTTCAAACATAGGGGAAAACAGAACCACCAACTTTAACTTTGAAAGACTCTTTTAAAGTTATAGTGCAGGGTACGGAGCCCCTTAGTACTTTTATAAAATATTTCGTTTAAACGAATATGGAAAATTGCGCCTTAGGGGCTCCGTAGCAGGGCGATATTTCAGTATATATCATTTTTTTAATAAGACGATATTACTCAAGATGTGAATTGATTTTCCGGAATGATAAAAAGGTCAAAATGCTCTTTTGTAGGGATTCTTACAAAGAAATCAAACATATTTGTAGATCATCTACTTGAAAATATTTTACTAAAACTAATTCATAAGGGATAAAACTTCAATAAAACTAGAATAATAACTGAAAAGTGATAATTTATACTAAAATTGTTACGTCATAGAATCACAAGCTAGTGTATTCTAGTTATACAAGCATTCCCATTGGACAGTAAGATAGATTCTACTGTCTTTAAGAATTACAAACTATACAAACCTTCCCAACAGATACAAAAGAATCATTGAAGTTGAACACATAATAGGCCAATAAACAAAACTGTACATTGAAAATTAATAAGTTGGTAGGAAAACAAGAGCATAATTAATAGACCTGAACATAAAGAGTATTTTGTTAAGTGTTTCTACCACAACATTGTTTTTGACACTACTTGGAAACGATTTACCTGGAAACTGGGGAAATGTTGAGAGTAGGTGGGATATTGAGCATCAGTTCCACAATGAACTAACTCACTGATCCTTAGAATGACTCATCAGCTGAACAGTTCATGTGGGTGGACGACGAAATTGTTCATAAAAATGCAAATGTGAGTGTACAAGCAAAAACCTTGCTATTACAGTTCTCCAATTAGTATCTCGTGTAACGTGCATTAAGAAAAGTAGCGGATATCTTGAACAAAACAAAAAACAAAACAAAAACAAAAACAAAGCAGTGTGGTAATTACCTAACGCGCTAATGTACGCTTGAACTTAACGAAGCTAGTCCCTGGTGTTAAGTTTGTTCAAGAAAGCAAACTCGAGGTTCTCACAGATTGACTTTTCTATTGTACTTTTGGTGTTAAACCATGGATCATTAAGGTAATTGAGAAGTACTGTCCTAACTAATGATTTAAAAAAATGGTACTGTACCCCTGCCACTCTACTTTGCATTTGATAGTATGTTGAGGTTGACAGATCTCTATTTCTATTCGGACTGGGGATAAAATGAAAAGCTTATTTTACTCGAGCAAAAGTTTGTGTTGGTTGATTGTTGATTGTTGATTGATTGTGGTTGAATGTAGATTCTTCCTTCAATAATTGACAAATATTAAAAAATTTCCTTGTTTTTAAAAGTGGTACTGAATATGCGCTTATTATTTTCCAAATGTCACAAGGGACAATTTTCGCTGCCCAATGATTGTCGCGATTAATTGATGTAGGGCTTGTGTTTGCTGGACCCATTTGGCCCATGGGACTAATTGATCCGCGGTCATTTGCCGGCAGCAAATTGTCGCACACGATATTGATTTTAGGTCAGTATACGTGCGGTGAAAAGTATTGTGATCTGGCATTGGATATGATCTAAAAGCATGCAAATATTTGCCCTCGTTTTTCATTAACCATGGTATTTGCGAAGGAATTGGATCTTGGTTCATAACACTGCAAACTTTTAATAATTTTGAAATAGTGGCTAATTTTGCTTTTACAATAATGTTATGATTTTTGACAATTTTTTTTTTTAAATAGTTGGTATCACTATTACAGTTATTACATACGGGTGTAAAAAGGTTACAAAACATCAATCTTATAGACAACATGTTCAGTCCGACACAGGCCTGTGATCATGTGATATCTTTTAATAATATATGCAAACCCCGTAGAGGATGAAATGTTGCCTGACCGGGACTGTATAGAAAGTTATGGATATAATTCTTTTACTTTTGTTCCGCTGTGCTTACCGAAACGAAAGACAAATTAACAGGAATTTCTTCCATGAATAATTTATAATATATTTTCATTGTAACAATAATTCAACTAACATACCAAAACTTTGTTTGGAATACATATTGTAGAGGTTTCTATAACAACAACACGTTACTGTCACTGGAAACGGTTACAACTATACTCTTGAAGTTTGTCAATCCATATTCACAGTCGCTTGTCTGATCATTGTGTCTACGTCGCACTGCAGTTTGCTTTTGCATCGCTTTTCGGGTGTTATTTATTCAATAATTCAAAATGGTAAGATTCTTTATCAGATAACTTGAAGGTAACATAAGCCAATTTACGCATTATCCATCGAAAGCTTGTGTTTATGTCTTTCTTAAGTCAGAGCGAAAAGCCTTGTTTCTTGAGTGAATTGCATCAACGGTTTAAGATAGTGTTAGTGTTTACAGTATCGTATGTTTTATTTTCAGCGTGAGTGTCTTTCTATCCATATTGGACAAGCTGGTGTCCAGATGGGCAATGCCTGTTGGGAATTGTATTGTTTAGAACATGGTATTCAACCTGATGGTCAGATGCCTTCTGATAAAACTATTGGTGCTGGGGACGATTCCTTTAACACTTTCTTCAGTGAGACTGGTTCAGGAAAGCATGTTCCGAGAGCTATCTTTGTTGATCTTGAAACCAGTGTTGTGGGTATGTATTCTTTTACATTTCGAATTAATATTTGTTTTTTTTATTTGTATCACATACTGCATTGCAGTCCAATACTATTTTTTTTTCTGACGCGTCATTAAAACAACAGTATACAGTATATTACTCTCTCGACAGCTTTTATTTGGTATAAATCATAATGAAAAGTCGAGCAATATTTAAATAGTTGTATCTATGATTTCAGATGAAGTTCGAACTGGAACTTATCGTCAACTTTTCCATCCAGAACAACTCATCACTGGTAAAGAGGATGCTGCTAATAACTACGCCAGAGGTCATTATACTGTTGGCAAAGAACAGATTGATATTGTGTTAGACAAGATAAGAAAAATGGCAGACAACTGCACTGGACTGCAAGGCTTTCTCATTTATCACAGTTTTGGTGGAGGAACAGGGTCTGGATTTACATCGTTGCTGATGGAACGCCTAAGCCTGGACTATGGTAAGAAATCCAAGCTGGAGTTTTCCATATATCCAGCTCCACAGATTTCAACAGCTGTCGTGGAACCATATAATGCTATATTAACGACTCACACAACCATCGAGCACTCTGATGTCTGTTTCATGGTTGATAACGAAGCTATTTATGACATCTGCCGTCGTAATCTAGACATCGGCCGTCCAACATACACCAATCTTAACCGTATCATTGGTCAAGTTGTTAGCTCTATTACTGCATCACTTCGATTTGATGGGGCTTTGAATGTTGATTTGAATGAATTTCAAACAAATCTTGTGCCTTATCCAAGAATTCATTTCCCACTCACAACTTATGCACCTATCATATCTGCTGAGAAAGCTTATCATGAACAACTGTCAGTTGCGGAACTTACAGCCAAATGCTTTGAACCAGCTAACCAAATGGTCAAGTGTGATCCTAGACATGGTAAATACATGGCCTGCTGTCTATTGTATAGAGGGGATGTTGTTCCTAAAGATGTTAATGCGTCTATTGCCTCGATGAAGACTAAGAAAACCATCCAATTTGTTGACTGGTGCCCTACTGGTTTCAAGGTTGGTATCAACTACCAACCACCAACTGTTGTACCAGGAGGTGATTTGGCTAAGGTTCAAAGAGCTGTATCAATGTTAAGCAATACAACAGCAGTTGCAGAAGCTTGGTCTCGCCTCGACCACAAATTTGACTTGATGTACGCTAAAAGAGCTTTTGTACATTGGTATGTTGGTGAAGGTATGGAAGAGGGTGAATTCTCTGAAGCTAGAGAAGATTTAGCTGCTCTAGAGAAAGATTATGAAGAAGTTGGCATTGATGGAGCAGATGAAGAAGAAGAAGGTGAAGAATATTAAATAGCTTAATTTAATTTCTTAGGTCAATGTTTCTTTCTGTTTTTTGTTTGATTAAAATAATGCTATAATAAAATTTAAAAATTTTAAAATCACAATTCAATGATTCGAATTAAATTATTTTATAAGTATTGAAATCCTGACCATTTAACATATTTGATACAAAAATCAATATTTTATCCCGTGGCGAGAAAAAAATATCTTCCATAAATTTTTGGTTCTTCAGTTACAAATATACCACAAATATTTTTTAAAACCGATCAAAAAAGGCGAATGTGGTGCTTTTCAATTAATTCCTGATTTTTGGCCCACCTGTTGTTACAATTCATGCTCACCGATCAAAACGCGGAACATTGTAAATCTTAATAAATTCCTAAACTACGAAAGACTTGATTCCGTCCAACATAATCTGATCCAGCAAAATAAAGTGCCATAGTCCTGGTGTCAGATATTGTAATATTGTAAGGGGAATAACTACTTATTACCAATATACCAATGGACGCTGTACTTCTGAAGATCGTTAAGTGAACTTTTTGTCTAATTATGCCCTTCCTATGCTTTGAAGCACTTATTGCTTTGTACCTCGCCAAATATAGTTTAGAAATAGAAGCCAAGTACTGTTGTAATAAAGCTGTTATTTTAACAAAATCATTTTATACGAAATGAAAAAGTGCCGTTAGAATAATTTATGTTAGATAAAAGTTATCTTTGAAATATTAACAATTTAACAAATATAATAAGAGTTAATTAAAGTTTCGTGACACTAAGACTACAGACGACATGCTTACACAAAGCACGTGAATAAACACAGATCATTAGTCTAGCTTATGGTCTTGTGGGAAAATTTAACACATTTTAATTTTTACTAAATATCATATATTATATCATTATACCACAGAGTTTTAATAATAATAAACCTCCTTAGATTATACTATACTATACTAAAACATACTTAAAGTTTGTGAGATGCCGTTTTATGAAGCCAAATATCGGAAGTGCAATCACCACCAGGATAACGTATCTCGTGAGCTAGTACTGGACCACCAGGCTCTTGACCAAAATCTACCAAAAAGTCCCTATTCAGTGTTAGTCCACCCTTTATGGTATCAACATCTATTTGAAGTAATATGGACCCATCTCTGAAAAACATGATTCTTATTTTTACATTTTCGGTCTATCAACTCACAGTTTGTTAAAATAGCACTGTATATTGTCAAACCCAAACTTCCAAGAAAGTCCTTCTCATTTGTACTCAGAAACGGGAAGATAGAAAAAAAGTCCTACCTGGTCATTTCGGGATAAAATTGTTGATCCCAAACACTGTATAATGATGTTGTTACATATAATCTTTTACCATCTAAACTTAATTGCAACATTTGAGGACTAACTTTATATTCCTTACTGTTGATGATCAAAGGTTCTGGCTGCTTCTGCAATGGAAGGTGATGTTAAAATCATGAAATGAAAATCGCATGAATTAAATTTCATTCTTTGTTTTTCGTTAATATTTTTCTGACAGAAACGCATAACTCCTGAAACTTATATTAACTAACAACGTATTCACATGATGTATACATTTACTTGTTTTACCTTTAATTCTGAATCTTTGGTAACTGTGACTGGACCACCTCTTGTTATGCTACCACCCAAAAATATCTTAAAATAAAACAAATATCACAACTCAAACAATGAAAGCCAATAATAACCCGAAGGTCAGAAGGAGTGCCATGTCTTTTTAGGTACTTAGTAATCGGGAAACTTCAAAATATATGGCTAGAACATAGCACATTCGAGACAGATGGTCACAGTCTTGGATCTGTTGTGATGCAATCGGATTGGTCATGACGCAAGCGTGGACACTTCTTGGGTCTTGCTTCTCCCGACTCCACTACAATGAGGCTGAATATATACATTTTGGTGAAGACGTGGTAGAGGACGTAATAGATCGAGGCCAAATCTTAGCGCAATTGCTTAGATCGTGACTCTACGGAATGTTGTGCTATTGTCGGGTTCAGTCGTGAGAGTGGTGGTTATAATGTTGGTATAAACATGGAACTGTCGTGGCTGGAACGAAAAAGTGATATATTCATAAAAATACTAAAACTCACCTGGCCAACTAATTTAGGTTTACGAGTATTAGTGATATCATATTGTCTAATATCACCATGTGCCCAGTTACTTAAATATAAGTATTTATCATCTAGCGAGAGCAGGATGTCGGTTATAAGACCTGAAAATCAATATTAATTTATAAATATATGCTCTAGCCTACTGTAGAATACGATCTAAGATCATTGTAAAGATATCATTGTTTCATTGCCCTCTTTCTCTCTTTCTTTATAACTTAAGCATTTCTGATGCTCTGCTCTGCAGGGACCAACTTAATTATCAAGGTGCAATGAAATAGGACCCTATCATGCTGGTAAAGCAAATTTGTACCAATATCATTTTAACTTACCGGGCATTTCCGGTAGAGCCCATCCCGTAACTGTTTTAGAGGGTACGTCGATTACTTTCTCGGCTTCCCATATACCTTTCTGTAAAATTCAATAAAAAAAATTTATTTATTAATTCATAGTATCTCGTAATAGAGAAATTAAAGAGGAAGTCTTATTTTCTTTCAAATAGGCTGGAAAAAATATAATTCAAATTAAATGAAAAATCTAGATCAAAATCTAGAGAAAATTGTCCTTTTCTTGAACTAAATATTTTGCCATGAATTTTAGGAAAATCCCGAAGAAAGATTTTGTTAAAATACAGTAGTTTCAACCACTTACTTGGTTTCGATAGAACCTGAAAACATTTGAAGACAATGCACAGCCAACGTATCCCTCAGTGGCTGTTGGTTCATGCAGAAACCTAATTTCTAAAGGCAAAAACCCTTCGGTTCCAAGATCCAGCGTCTGGATATGCTCATGTGTAGTCCAGTCCCATACATGCATACAGTGTCCATATAATCCTGTAAAAAAAAACTAAATTGTGTCATTTTCTGTAAAAGTTCAAATATATATATTCTTTGAATGGTTGTAATAAACCAGGACTAAAATTGATTTAAATAAAATACACAAAACATATGTGCAATATTGTCAGTTTATGATTAGTGTATGTTCTGATACAACGCGTTATATCAACAATATATATAAATAGGCTGCAAATAGACACAAATGTCTTTCCCCATGTAAAGTCGTTGACCTGCTCTCTTTGAGTTCGGTCAATGTGAGAAGTTCGAGAGATCACATGGTTTGTAAGCATAATATATTAATCTATTAATTAAGAATGTGAAGTGATATAGATATACCAGTGGAATGAAGTAAACTATTCAAGTTAGTTTATCTATATATGTCAATGTTCGTTAACTAAACAATTTATATAACTACAATCTACAGCAGCTGGTGAGAGCAACTATATTTTACAAGGATAACAACCGAGGTTCATAAAGATCCGTCCTACCAGCTGGTCCTTGCCAAACCAAATCCATTTTCTGGATTATCGGTACCCATTTACGGCTGGGTCAACTTGAATGAGTGAAAATAACTTATTCAAGATTATTTCACACGCGACCGATTTGGACCTAACCCAAGTAGTTAATAGACCGATTACAAATTATCGTTTTAATAATACATGAAATGCAAAGCTCCTGATTGGGCTTTTCAACTGTGTTATATCGCCTTGACATAGCTTTAACGGGACCTTAGTTAATTAAATAAACCTAATGTCAAGGCGCCTTTCTATGTCACAACCAACAAAGTACACAAGTTTCAAAAGAATATGAAACCTGCATAAATTGTATTAAAAGTATAAGAAAGCAAATCAATTTCAACTGATTTGGGACTTGAATATTATGTTATATTGAGAAAATGAAATATTTTTCAAAATCAATTACCTTTTTCTACATGTTCAGGGTTGAAACCTAATCTCCATGCCTTCGGTGCACCCCACTCTGAACTAACCATCACATTATGAAGAGGTTGATACCAAAAATCATAACCAAAACACGCATTAACCCCCTTTTCCCAGTTGCCAATTACAGAAAAGTCGTCACCATCTAATAGAAGAAATCCACCTGAAATGTTCAGTAAACTTCTATTTCCACATTATTTGGTGGATTTATCGTTGTAATTAATTTAGATTTCGATAACCTCATAATGTAAGTAAACTATTGTCTATACCTGCATTCATTTTGGGCGAACAATGCTGACTTTATTGTCGTCTGTAATCTTAACTATTTTTAACGCATTGGCGTATAATTTTGTACTCGAAAAAACAAATCAAAATAATATACATGTAGTCCAATAATTATCATAGTGATTATTAGTGATACCAAGAAAAATGTAGGCTATTTCATATATTTATTGATTGATCAAGGTTAATTGCTTAAGGAACACTGCTGAAAGTACCAATTCTATATGGTTATTATTATAGTTTTCATATACATGTAGTTCATTTTCCATTAATTTCATCACGGTTTGGTTGTCATTGAACTTATCAACTCGATATTATTGCTTTTGATTGTATTAATGCGTTACATTAATGTCACTTTATTTATAGGTGAGAGTATGGTGGTGGTGGTGGGCAGTTTAAATGCAACAAGAGACGAGTACATGTTCTCAACAATCCGCCATTTACAAGACACAATCCATGAACTGACGACGGTTCCTTTCTCTGGAAAGTAACACCGGAACAAGGCGTGTCAAAAGTTCCTACCTTTATTATTGCCATCAGGATCTCCCATACAACTTATCATGATTTGGCCAGAACCTAAACAATGTGAAGTATGTGGTGCACCTAATCCAGTTTTAGAATGTATTTCATTTGGTTCGACAATCTATAAAACAGAAATTATTGCACTCGTTTATATCTTGAACTTCATACTCGATACTAAAATGCAACTTAATATGTGATTTTGGACACAGAAACAGATAAAAAGACATAAGCGGTTCAAAAGGCCCCAAAGCGATCGCCTGATTTACATTGCTAGATATAGTTTACTCAGTGAACACCCACTGGGCCTTCCTTTACATCTAAAGAATTGTAAATGATAATGGCTTTCTAATTATATTAATATTATGTGTTATAATTGTATCAGTTTATCTGAAATACATTGATTAACTATTCCATGTAATATCATGTATAATAACAATTACCTAAATATCATTTTTTAACTTTTAGAGAGTCATAGAGAAGTTATGCAGGTCGGGTAGTAACATAAACCCCCCTGCTCTTTATGCTATTCCACTAAAGCTTGGATAGTGTTGACTGACGATTCCAGGTATCCCATTAGATCATTGGATGCTCATGAGCAGAACACATAGCGTATCAAGCGAGCTCATGTCAAATATGTCTGACAAATCGCGCTGGTCTCTGTGAAATTCTTTTTAAAGAACATTTATTCATAAACAAGGCAGCATTGCTCTCAATCAAACTATTAAAGGGTTTTTAAATTGTTTTTTTTTTAATTTTATGTGTATCAGGAACACGGGTGCAAATTGATGCTATCAGTGTCCCTGAAATACATAAAAAAAAAAGAAAACCTCTTTACAATCCCTTTAAGGGTAAAACTTCAACCAATAAGTATGTCATTCGATTATTTCACCATATCGCCAGCAAAACTGCATTTTCACGCATAAACTAGTTTATGATATCATCTTATGTAATTTTTTTCATTGATTAGAATATATCAGATAATTTTTGTTGAACTTCAAACAACAGGTTTAGACAGGTTGGAGATATCTTTTAGAAGACAACACGTGTTATCAAAGGACGACACCAATGACCAATCGTTGTATGAAATTTGATTGTTTTTTACAATTCGATTGATATACTCTTTGCGGCGAAGAGATAACTATTTTAGTAACATTGAAATCATGGGACAAATACAGTTAAAAATTTTTTTTATATGATTGAATTTCCTGGAACGATGGGTTTGGTCGGCTGGCTTGACATTTAAGTTCTTATAAGTACGATGCCATTATTTTGAAGTTCACTGTTAATTTTTCTATTATCATCACATTCCAAAAATTCATAGTAATATCATTATTGAAATGAAATCGATATTTTGTTCTCGTCATTAAATTTGTTTTTTTTTTTATCTGAAATTACATTACTTGATTTGCTTATACGATGCAATTAAAGGGGCCTATTCTTCTGAAAGTAATGGGTGTTCAGACCACAAACATGCATTTATACTTAGATAGTTACAAAAGTCGTACAATAAATAGTTACCTTGTGAATTTTCGGTGCTTTAGGATCTGTGCCTGTATCCACAACATATATTCTATCACTATTTAAACATGGTAAGATCAAACGATTTCTCGACTTGCTGCTATCATCATAACAACTTGAGCATGCGTTCCACCCAGAGTGGTGAATTTCATCCCCACGATAGGTCATCTCTAGTCTGTGGATGACCTTGAATTACAAAAAATAGATCGACGAAAATACAGTAGTTCAAAGACTTGATCAGTTCTGTATTATATGGGATAGATACTCTTGTCCTTTTCGTATACCTACTTCGTATGCTACGTCCACCACTTGGTGTTAGTGAAGTTAGCATCTGCAATACCATAATGCGTTTATGACCAATTGTTACCAATTTAATCTAAAGTGTTCATGGCTTCTGGCAATTGCAAAAATTAGGTTTTATAACATACCTTACAATAAGTTGGAGATTGAGGATCTATATCAACTGTAGCTAAATAGTCGCAACGTTTCTCTTTTTCATCTGGTTTAATAATACACGGTATATACACCATCTTCTCTCTGGGTCCTGACATAGCTGCCAATGGAGTGGCATATCCTGGCCCGCCACAACAAGCTGAAAAAAAAAACAATAGGTATACAGAAGTTGAAAACATCAGTCTAATAATGTCAGATTTTTGTTCCCGTTCTTTTATATTTGCTTTTATTTTCAATCTATCCACTTCAGCCTAACTGGAATGACTGTATTAAAGCTAAAAGCTAATATAAAATGGAACGAAAGTTTAGTCATGTTGAAAGGGTTTTCTGTAATCTACATATTTATGTATTGGAAGAATATTTACTCATATTCAACAATTTTTTTATTTAATATATTTACCCATAATTGTCACAAGATGTTATGTGCCGAACCCAAAGTTGTGATTAAGTTACCATGAAAACTTTAGAATTCGTCACACAAGTTCTCAGAGCCGATTTTGGTTATTAAGACATTATAGTATTGCTGGCGCCAATTACAATCGTCATTCAATCACACAAGTATAATGCATACAAATATGCAAATATTTGTTACTTCCTTGAGTGGCATTTAGTAATTAATGATATTAACACGAACACGAAAAGTTATTTTATAGTGGCAGTATGCACCTATTAACACTGCACAACTGAAATGTCGAGTATAAATATAGTCTTATTTAAATTTTATTATTATTTCATTTCATGTTATTTTGTTATTACATGTATCTGCATTCATTCATTGTGTAATTAATCTACAAACCTAACCCTTATATCACATCTCCCCATTAAAACTTCTCGTATTTTCTCTATTTTCGTGCATTGTATTTTTGTTTCACTTCAAATTTCAGTTGCTTCAGTTTCTGATATTTTTGTCTATTCGGTTTGACAACCATCTGATGCAATTGAGTATGTCCTGTGCCCACCAAAGTTCTTAAAAGCTGCGGTCTTGTAATTTTCCGTTGTCAACCTGATCTGATGTATGCAATTATTTTGGTCTGCATGTTAACAATGCAGCACTTCAATTACTAGTTGTTGGTGAAGTTCACAAATCGCTTTGCACTTTGCTGTACAAAGTTAAATGATATTTCGGTAGTCATTATCAACATTAAAAAAAAATTTACCTGTTTTATAAAACCTGAGAAGATATTATAAATAATACTATAGACAAAACAACGTCTGGCATCTTAGGTTGCGTTCGATTTGTAAAACCGAAACAACACACAAATAAATCAAGATAAATTACACATAAAAAGATAAAAAGGTAAAAGATGAAAGGTGAAAAATAATTGGCATGAATTAAAAAAAATTAATTGACTTATCATTAACAGAAACCCATATATTATAGAACAAATGGAAACATAATTTAGTCACATTTTTTAACATACAATTAAATATAAACAAAATATGGTACCTCGTATTTTAGTAGATCTCTTGATTCCCTTAACCAAACTAGATCCCATAACCATATAATACTCTATCACAATATAATATATTCCAATAATCTATTATTCTTCCAATTAGCCAAATTATGTGTTTCACAAATCGACTGTCGCTATCCACATCGCAATCAAACGTCTTTGTCAGAAGTGGACAAAATCAATGATGTATAAAATTATAAAAATGGATTTATATTATAGCCCTTGTGTTCTTTAAAAAGAATATGTAATTATGTTAATTTGTTGTGGGGAAGTTTTCAGAAGCATAACCTGTAAATTGCGTGGTAGTCTGTGCAGTGTGAGTTGTACAATGTCTGCATTGATTTGATTATTAACCATGGGACACTTTATTTGATTAGAAATTACCATAAATAACAATATTAATACAGAATATTTTGAAGTTGCTTGATTGGTTTTGAATCTACTGTCGTTTACAGATTACACTTCTTGTCAGAGCCTGCCTTGCCTAAAATCCTCTGATCTTGATGAAAACGAACAATAAGTTGCATCAAATTAACGCTATTATGTATGAGGAGAGTAAAGGCGAGTATATCCATATTAAAATGTAGACGTTTAAATATCTTGGAAGACTGAATACTCCAGTACAGAATTAGTGATATTTCATGAGTAATATTACCTGTGAATTTTTCACAGTCGTTTTTTGAAGTCGTTACAGACTACAAATGATTCCAGACACTTAAGAACCTACCGTAATTTAATGGATAATATATAGAAAACAAATGATACTTGATCTCTTCTGAACAATTGCCAATTTTAAATTTGAACAGTGAATTATTAAAATTTACACGATTTTAACATATTAATCAATGTATCAATCTAAAATATTACATTTTGATGGCTATATCGATTTACAGAACAGTAACTAGCATATTAATAATTCATACAAATCATGGTTTTAGTTAATAACAAAAATGTTGAACATCACTATGATTAATAGAAAATAAAATAACAGATGCCATTAGCTCGATCATTGACAGAGCAATTGATATCTTTCTCATTCTGGGAATTCGCAATGTTCTAAAAAACATTCGTCCCGGGTGTATTCCATTTGTAAGCAGTGATTCTGAGCAAATCTGGTTAAGTTATTCAAATGAAAATTGACCGCCGCAATTATTATTTTATATATAGGCCTAAAGATAATATTATCACGGTAATATTTTCAATGTAATTTGGTCCCAATGTTTTAACTGGATTGGAAAACTTCTGGCGAATATTACTGGTAATATATATTTATATATAGTCATAATTAATATGCAACCTGTAAACAGTGTTATTGTGATCTGCATTTGAAACAGATTGATATCACTGTAACCAGTCTTTCTTGTTGGTAACCACAATTGCTGTATATTGTGCTTGACACACATAATGTCCTGTTGGACAGATCCTTATATAATTTGATATACAATTTATCACACCAAATTTCAGTTTCGGATAATCGAGCTAACTTCACATTTCATTGAAATTCAGTAGTATTGCAGTTGTAAACTTCAAATTGCTCTTGCCCATGGTGTTAGTTTGTTAAGGTTATAGAAGCCGCTGAGTATTTTTTCAGCTTTGACAGAAAATTTCAAAGAAAAATATACAATTGGTTTTGATACTATATCGCGTTAATTGAACTCTACTTCCAGACGTCGGATGCTGATTTATTCTAAATCTACTATTGGATTAGGATAAACTGTTTCCATTAGCAAATTATCATACAAGAAAATTGTCTAAATATCTGGTCCACGCCTTCATGAAAAGACGGGGAACAATATTCCCAGAGTAGAATTTAAGTGTGACATATAAGCCCATTGTGCTGGGTACCTATTATGATGTTACTTTGTACATTTCTTTGTATTAATTGTTTTATGCATATACCACTGTAATAAATAATTACTTACTTACTTCTAAGAAAAGTTCATTACTAGCATGGGAACGTTGTTTTCATTGTGTAGGCATTATTCCACACTGCTTTATTATTGTAGACAATAATAACTGTAGGTATAAGTGGATGTAGGTATTAGTGGCCTGTGCCCTGTGAACTGTTATAATACATCACAGTCAACGGAAATATCGATATTATGTCTCTTTAATTTGAAATTAGAATACAAAATACAACATTCCTCTTTATTCATTCAAATAAACTTAAATTTAAAAATTTTGCATTTAAACAACATTGGTTATAAATACACACATTGAAATACTAATCTTATTATAGTCTTTCTACAGCTGTTTGAGAGAGGTCTATTTACATAACCTATAAATAATTTTATGACTTTCAAGTTACGGCGACATTTGCTCGATAGTTAAGTTTAAACACATTTACTTAATTCACCATAACAGCAACTGAGATTTTCTTTACAGTAATAATTACTGCATCAAGAATATTATTAATTCTATGTTGTTTATACCCAACATTTGTCCAAAGACATTTATTTACATTTAATGCAACCTATTCTTGAAAGTAGAATTGTATAAATTGGACCATATTTGTGTTTTCGTTACATTGTTATCAATGCAATGTGTGATTTCAAAGTTGGCGTTGGTGTTAGTGCAAGAGTCAGTGTTTGACTTTGACATAGGGTTACACCAACAGCAGGTGCTAAGACCAACAGCAATGCCTCATTTCAAAGGTGTGTAAATATGTGTAAATATTGGTGTTAACTTCATCTATTGTGAATTTTAGTCGCTTTACCTGATGCTATTAATGTCTACTATGTATGGATTAAAAATTCTTTTAACCACCCATTCATGACATTGAGATCTGTTACCATGTAAGAAGAATCATACATTATTTAACGGTAGTGCGTGTTTTCATTTTCATTTTAGTTTATCGAGGTCAACCATGTGGTCAGTTTTATCTTCATTCAGTGTCGGTGCCAATGGGGGTACAGTTTAGCCTCCCCCCCCCCCCATAAATAGTACCACCAATTGAATTTCTAAATACGATCTTTAAACGTACTTGCCTCAAAATATGTGTCAATAACAAAGTTAGTATTATATTCATATTATAACTTGAGATGGGTGTATAGCAAACAAACTTTATTTTTAGTCAGGTCATAAAATTTCACAATATTATAATTCACAACTGCACGACGAATCCCTTTTAATCATATGAGCTAATTACGTTTATATAACATTTTTCGAAAAAACCAAGAAACTATCTCATACCAGAGAAAGAAAGGAAATGATTTGATGTTTAAAAAATTCAAGACAGCATCCCCGAAAATTCCTGAAGATTTGGAATGCTGCAGAAATGAATCTCCACCCTGTCGATAAAATGCAGAGAAAACATCGGCAAAAATTTATACAGAAAGTTGAAACAGTCTCATTCAATTACATTCGAAGTATATGCTAACTCCGCCTGCAATACCCCTCTTATAAATTGATAATTGCATTTTCTTATAATACATCATAGTAAGATATCTTGCCATGATCGAAAATGATACAGAAAACTCCGAATAAAATTTTGAAGAGCTCCAAAGCACTGCATGCAGGAAAGAAAGAAAATCAAATTGCAACGATCTAAACAACCAGTATAAATTAGATTAGATAATGGGTTTCAGCCTAGGGGTGATTTTGAATTTAGTTTTTTCTTTGGTAATGGGGAAGCGCTTTGTAGTCTAGCATACTATTTTTGAACAATTACATGGTAAAGAAAACAGGTAAAAGACAATGAAATGAAATGAATGAGTTATGCGTTCTACTTTGATGTCGAGGGATCTTTAACGTGCACAACTTGTAGCACACAGGGCCTCGGTTTATCGTCCCATCCGAACGACTAGACTCTTTTCCATGTCAGCCACTCCGACCTGCGTACTGCATCACTGTCATGAGGGTACCGGTTTGAAATATCCGAAGAAACCCCTCAGAGAAAATCACAAAATAGTGAAGGGGGGGGGGGCTGTGAAATCGACACTGAAGGTGGTAATTGTAATAAAAAGAGGCTGGCTGCTAAATGAAATTAAAAGATAAACATACCCATAGTGAAATGTGATCAGGTTAACCTCGTTATATCAAACTACACAATATGTCTCGCGCTGCTAAAGTATGACAATTTTGATAACGAAATCACATACACGATAAGATATTATTGAGACTGGACTAGTTTAGTCCTGATCAAACAGTAGTCGCCCATATATGAATAATATAGTTATATTATCCGGTCACGACAATCATGAATTAGTGTTCATTCTCTCTTAGGTTTAAAGTGATGAACTCAGATCTCATCCATGATTACTAATCAGGTCAAAGTTTATCAGGATCTACCTCGCTGGTCATCGTAAAGGATCTCCCTGTCATGCTTGAATAACACAGCCCACGTGGAATATGGCATCCTACCCTAAATTGGAGACCATGAACATTTCTAGTGATTTCAAGACACTGTCATATATTGCAACAGTGAAAGGGAAATAACTCAATGCTCGATAAATGCTGTAGATCTTTTGATGAACATGTAAACTTGATTTTAAATATTCTACGCCCTTTATGCTTTTTTAGTTTGCGATGAGACCCATATCCCCTTTCCCACCAAAAGCAAACTTGAATAATTTACTACACAAAACCTACGCCTATTGGTCAGCTCAATCAACAGCTGATCATTATAAAGAAATACATTTCAAAAATATTTCGGGTAACCCCTGATGTGTTCGTTGAACAAGCACACAATTAGATATACAATCCTACTTTTTTCTCCATAAAAAATGTTACGAATGGGGTTCAAATTTAACAAAGAAATAGTAAGCAGATACATTTTATAAATAACATCATTTTATACAAAACATTTTTAGATTTCTTCATGAACAGAATGATTAAGAAAAGAGCAATATAAAACAATTCATTTAAACATAAACTTGAAACATGTTATTACTCGGAGTTTTAAACTATAATGCCATGCTATGACTTCTTCAACGTAGATAAAGTTTGTGGGATGCTGTTTTATGAAGCAAAATATCGGAAGTGCAATTACCACCAGGATAACGTATCTCGTGAGCTAGTACTGGACCACCAGGCTCTTGACCAAAATCTACCAAAAAGTCTTTATTCAGTGTTCGTCCACCAATGTTTTTATCAACTTCTATTTGTAGTAATATGGACCCATACCTAAAGATAAAGATATAATTTTTTCCATTGTCGTCTTCAAACTATCAACGTTCCAAGAACACTTCATTTTGTCAAAATTTTGCAATACTTGATATTAATATCCATCCAAGATATACACGGCTCATTGGAAAGTTCTAAAAATTACACTCATTCTATAAATGCACTTGGTATTAACTGGAAGATAGAAAGATAGCCTACTTGGTCATGAGTAGACTGGATCAAAACGCAGTATTGCATTCAAGAAAGATTAATTTTAACACAACTCAATCGAAATCCATTAGTCCTACATAAATATCAAGGCAATTAAAAGGAAATTATAGAAAGATACTAAAAAAGATCAAGCCCACCTGGTCATGTCAGGATAAAATTGTTGATCCCAAACACTGTATAATGATGCAACATTTGAGGACTGACTTTATATTCCTTACTGTTGATGATCAAAGGTTCTGATTGATTCTGAAAGGTAAGGTGATGTTAATATCTTTTTATTTCTTCTCGCATAAGAGATTCGTGTGCATTACATTTATTCTTTTCTATTTATTTCGTTAATATTTATTGAACAGGATTACTCCTGGTATATTACAGGAATATTCATGTACTCCATTTACCACTTCTTGTTATGCTATCACCCCAAAATATCTTAAAATAAAACAAATATCACAATTTAAACAATTCAATCTAAAAATTCTTTATCTCAAAACAATATCTCAATATACCCTATATAAATACTACATGTAGACTACATAACCGACGTAGCAAGATTTCTCTCATTGTACCTTACAGACCGTTGCCCGTCTTCATTAGCCCACATGGTGCAGAAATGTAGGACGTAAAACTCCATTCATTTCATTTTGTGTAATTCCCTTATCATAAAATTGAAATTTAATTTTCCATTGCATATCATAAATGCCATTAGTTGGTGTTTTGCAGTTATAGACAACTTGACCACATTCCTAAAACCTTTTGAAGACATACTGCATACGGTAATAAAAAAAATCCGATGATCTGAGTAAAATTGTATTGTTAGTTAGAATTAAAAGATGAACATACCCATGAAACGATGTGGTCAGGTTATATGACAAATTCCAGCGCTGCAAATGTTGGATAATTTTGATAAACCACACATACGATAAAATAAGATGAGACTGGAAATACAAAGTTTGGTCAAACGATCAGCGCAGACGATAGGTGATCGCCCATACGTTATTAACAATAAATATATGAATAGTAAAATCGCATTTACAGATAACAGCAAGTGCTAGGCTTCGTGTCAATATATTTACAGAAATCTGTTTAACAACGGTTGAAAGTGAAATCAAAATGAAATGAATGGAGTTTTACGTCCTACTTTTCTGCACCAATCAACGGTTGAAAGTTCAAATAAAAGTTCAATACAGACTTAACACAAGAGCGAAATTTTTACTGTTCAATGACCCATGACTGTCGTACCAACAACCATTTTTGTTCACTGCAAAACCATAATTTTACTACGATGAATTCTTAACAATCGTGGCATGTTAGGGACCTCGTTAAAATTAGGTTTTTCCTTGGATAGATAAAACTCTGTAGGTAATGGATAATCCCTTTATGGTTTTTGAATATAAAAGGTCATCAACGCAACCGATAGGAAAAATTTTTGTAAGGGAATTTAGAATAAACAGGTTTTTGTAAATTATGAACTGAAGAATTCCTTCTGCATATTGGATTTGAACTCTGCAATCAGCAAAGTTATGGTTCTGAAATCGATTTTGATTTTGATAAGTGCTTGCAATGTTTGTTAAGTGCAGCGTTGAATAAAACTGAATTGCGAACTTGAAGCTTTTGCCTTCCAGAAATCACATTGGGGCACAGAGCAGAAGGATCGTATCTAACTAGCGATTGTCATTTTTAATTTCTAACTTTCCTATAGACCGAAACACCGGTCTCTATCCCAGCCTCTGATAGCTATTAGGACAGATATGTGCTGGTTTAGAGACGGGAAGAAAAAGGCCATGTTAAATGGGGACTTTCCGCTTCTCGGGGGTTTTAAACCTATTAGATCGGATCTGCAAAACCCAGATATTTTTGGAAAGATGAATATTTTTGTAGTTCAATCATGCCATCATTTTCTCCCTAGACCATTTATGTCACGTCTCTACGGAAAAAACTAGTGGCCACGACTTGATATCTCGTGGCCGCGAGTTGCTATTTTCCATATTGTATAAACATGTCTTATAAATCTAAATTGCTGCGAAAAGGTTGAGCTCATAGATTATAACGGAAGGAATGGACTTATTAGGATATATTGAGACTAGAATGGCATAAAATGATACCGTTATCATTCTGGCTCATAGACGCAGAGTCATTTTGAATGTAAGTCATGGCCACTAGATACTTACTCTGATTACGAGTTGCTAAGTCCTGATTAGGAGTTGCTACGTTATGGCCACGAGTTGCTAAATCTTGGCCACGAGATAATAAAAAGAAATTTTCTGTATTATATGCCCCCCTTATGGTCCCGTACGTCTCCGGTTCCATCACAGTTTTTTTTTCGCATCGGACATTCAAAACTGAGCGCGCATTCAAAAGTTCAAAGGTCATAAAGTTACATGATACTAACAAAAGGAAAGTTACGGTGATCCCAAACACTAATCTCCAGTCAGCGTAAAGGTAATGTAAAATTATGTTACAAAAAAACGCATCTTCGTAGGTATGGAAAAAGCCCATTAAAGGTCATATTTTTTTCTGACTCTACTCCAGCCGACAATTGTCACAATATCCATCAAAAACTGGAAAAGAGGCATATGTTTCCGACTACCTTTCTCAGCGTAGTACTCCACCAACCCTTTCCTTTAAAACGCTGTGGAATGTTTACAGCGAAAATGAAAATATCTAAACGTATGTGAAAAAGTGTTTAATGACATTCGCACAATATACGTACTGAATATTTCTCAAGACTAAAGTAGGCTACGGGTTAACAGTACCTTACTACACAGTTAAAATGTTTTCTTGAAGTCGAATATTTCTACAGTGTTTGATTCTAGTCCAAAATGGGGTTTTCCAATACCGATATTGAACCTTGATCCTACACCAGCTAATGTTTCGCTTCTCAAGATTTAAAAATAGGTCCCAATTATTTTAAATCATTCGAACGACAATAATAACACAATATATATATAACAAAGATATAACACAGTAAAATCTACTCGGGTTCCCTGAAGTCAATTTTCGCTTCTTGAGTTTCATATACTTGATTAGAATAGGCAACTGCACTACTGAAGTTTTCTTCATCATAAATATCATTGGATACATCTCGCTCTTGTTTCTTCAGATTCATTTTCCTTTGTTTTCTGCTAATATAAAACAATAATCGTTTTGATTTACCTTAACCTTAACCACACTGGATAAAAACTACTAGGTCGAAAATGAAAGTTTTTGAGAGATTTACAAAATCGCCTTAGATTGTCTTTCGGTAATAAAAATTCAATGCCGAGTGGTCGGAGAGTAGATTTATTCGTAAGATATAAGTTTTAACACAAAAACACAAGTTGGAATCAGAAGATATACTAACCGTTTTTGTACTATTATATATGTTGCAACAACGACAATAATTAAGGCTGCAATAGCACCAAATACAGCACCAACAATTACTTTCCAGTCATCATCCTGCAAGATACAATTATATGCAGTCAAATAGACATATTCCTCGTGATAAGTTTCTATACTATTTATCTGTATCGGGGACACTTACAGATCATATTACACCATCCTAAATGAAGTTGCTGACTAATCTAACCTAGACAAACATGTTGGTCGGAAACGTGAACTGATTGGGGGTTTTCAAGTTCATAATAGACCAAAATTTGTTTCGCTCACATTATAAAAAAACATAGATTGTGGGTTGTTGATTGTTGATACTACCTTTAATCTTTGACATCAATAAATTGTGAAAATAGGTGATAATATTTGGCATACCTCTTCATCAGATGGTGCTCTTTTTTCATATAGAGCTAAACCATGATTTTTTAAAGCTTCATCCAAATGAGCTGAGGTTGGATAGTTCACATCCTCTATATCTCCACCATCTTTTCTGTTTATTGCGTAGTTAACTTCGGATAGTTCATTACTGTAAAAATATTACAGATTATAGCGCGATGGAAGCGGGGTAAACATTCAATAATAACATAATTATTAGGTAATGCACTAATGATTAACGATAGGATTTAGGATAAAATGACATTCAAAGCTTCGGTTGCATTCCAATATTAATGGAGTAAATTTTGAATTTTGTTTGTTTCTCGAATCTGGTTATTGGTATAATATATAGTAGATAATGGACTATTAAATGGGGCTAATAATTCAAAGTGTAAATTCTTACTTATTAGAATCTTTTATTCCATCAGATAAATTTAAGATGTCAACTTCAAGATCTTCAGCAGATATATCTAATAATAAAACAATATAATACTCTTTGAAATGTGAAAATGTTATTATTGAGTAACATTGGTGTAGTACGATTATTGGGATTGTATATAATTTGAAAGTAATGTGTATTTGTCTTAGAGCATACCTGGATTTGCTTTGACCACAGCTTCATAAACAGCTTTCTTTACATCATCAAACTGACTGTCTTCAACATCACCATCTAATCGTAGTGAACCAGCTTTTCTTGGTGAACAGTTACAGCCATTGACACCAGCAGCATCAAGATCATCTTCAGTAGGGGAATTTAAAAATACTGGATCTGGTTCTTGATCATTAACAGATAGAGTATAGTCTACTGGTGATATTTCATCTCTATCGACATAAATATAAATATTCAATTCAAATACATATCAAGTTTTATCAATATTCGTATATAATCAAGTATGTGTATATCTATCCTAATTGTTCTTCGCATAGTGTGTAGAAATATATGTTTCTTATCAATATATGTTTAAAAATAGAAAGCCAATTCTAACAATCATTAAGTCGTGCTCATACATTAACTATATTTCAACTGAGCACTCTTACCCATCATCTCCTATATATTTTGTTTGATTTGTTGATTCTGAAACTGCTCGCTTCTTTCTTGAATTTTCCTTCTTTGTTTTCACTTTTAGTAATTGATGTAGAGAGGAAGAATCTGAAAGCAAAGATTACTTTGAACTGTCAAAAAGTCCTGTATCTGCTCAAGATTGACACCTGAATTGCAGGGGGAAATCTTCTAGGATGCCAATTAACCTGGTGATCGTTGACGTTAAAAGTCTTTAGCCTCAAACCCTTCGAGTTCGACCAACATCACTGACAGGTGGGGATCTATATCGTAAATAACATGCATATTCATTGGTCAAAAGTATCTACTTTTTATATATTTTATCTGTCAATATAATCAAAATTATCTTATTCCAATATTCTAAAATGTATAATATAGCTTCTTACTATGGTTAACATTCATCCATGCAGCTCTGATTGCTATACCGACAGACTTGTGATCTACAGAGCCTGGTGATCCTTTAACAAATAGTTTCCTATGTTTGAGTGGCTTACAGCTACAGGCACTCTTCTCTTCACCTATTTTGTTAAAAGCAGCAGTTATGTCTGTATTATTTAACTGTGCCTGAACTGGGTCTGAACCATTTACAAATACTATATACTGAACTTTCGTTAGTTTATTCCTGAAAAATATCACTCTGTGAGTATCTCAGAAAATTCGATATTGATAGTAAACATGACTACTTAAAATGAAAGTAAATTTCAGGAATACAAATGTAAATACTCCGGAAACATATTATAGGTGAAACCGCTTACAGTAAATATCACAGCAATAGAACATTTCAGACTAACAATAATTGACTGAAACATAACAAGTCTCGAGATATTAAGGCTTATCTTTGGAATTACTCACCAGTTTTCATCTACATATCTTGTAACATCTATTAGAGTTATATTAATCTCAGTTGTGGAGTCTGAAACATTATAAAATATTATTACTTTGAAAATGAAATTTAAGGGATTTATATTTATTTCTCCTTACATAATCGCAAATACAATTTTCAAATTGAATTCGCTTAAAAAGAAAATACCTTGTTTCCATGCTTCGTGCAACCCAGCCGAATATATTTCATCCTTTTCATTCCATGAGTAGCCTTCAAAATATACCGATCTGGCCACGAATGTTTGTTCTGTCCATACTACTAGCTCAAATTGATTGAGATGGGTATTAATCAGCTCCGATGTAGGAGCAGTTGTCTGGTAAGATTTCAGGTACTCTCCTTTAGATTGAACCATATAATGTAATTGTGCTACCACTGTTTCTTGAACATCCATTGCTATTCTAGAATGAAGAAAGATTATATACAATATTTAAGACACATTGCATAGGCCATTTTGAATACAATATATGAGACCATGTATTTATTAAATGATATATGTCACTTATTATCACTTATTAAATATTGAAAACTAAAGCTAGAGCTGGAATTGAAATTTAAACTATATTAAGATAAAACTAGGGATGGGGCCAAGGAGGAACTTTCTAATCGCCAACCATTTCACTTGTATAGTTTTTTGAACATATTGTTCAATTAATATTTATAATATGTCCTGTTATGGTATTTAGGGCTACTGACGTAAATCATTTCGTTATGAAATCCAATCTGACGGTATTCGATGACGTCATCAATGATTTTTCTCCGATATCCTTCGAATTGTGTCGTCCAATGTATCCTTCTAAATGAATATGACAGACATAGTATGACATCAACAATACTATTCACTTACGTTTTGTTGTATCCTATTTTCATTTTTCTACTAACAACCGACACTGTACAATTCTCACACACAGCTGAAATATATTTTTTTGTCAGAAAATGTGGACGTAGAGAAACCTTCCTTTTAACCCTATAGATTGCAACACATCGTTCTGGATTGATTCACAACAGTATCGAATTTGCCGAAATCAATATGATTTTAACCATACTAATTCACTGCTAATTTCTGCAGTCAACTCTTTCGGGAAAGTCGTTGACCCTGACTGCGCAGTTCGTCATCGGCCAGATCTATTTTTCGGTAGGAAATGCTACTGACGGAAACGGTGAAGTCGATTGGATTGTCTAGACAGGGATTGAGGTAGTTTTAAAGTACTTACTTGGATTATTGGTTGACCAGACATCTTCTAGAGATGCTTCAATTAAACGTTTAGTTTCAATTGTGAAAAATAAGCTACTCGAATATGCTACATCCAGACTGAACAAGACGCCAAGTCTATAAGTGTTTACTCCTTTGTATAATGACCATCGATATTTCATCACATTATTTATTTCGTGCAGTACAAGTGTATCATTAGGTTTAATATCAAATGATGGTTCTGTTGCTATTTTATCTAATGTTACTGTATATAATATCTGATCAATTTTAACTCCAAAATCACCGACGAAATTTTCTGTTGATTCAATTGATACAACTACATCTGAAAAGAAGCAATATATGTCATTTGTTACTTTGAATATGGACCACATGGTTCCTACATTTTTTTTAGATTGCTCGTTTAGGAGTATGTATGGCTGTTTAGTTCCAGTCGTACAAGTAAGTTTACAACTTGATTCAGTCACAAGATGTTCCTGGCTTTTTGAATAAACGAGTTTCTGTAACAATAAGATAGATTGTGATGTCTGTAAAGGACCAAAAATATATATCTTTACCTTTTTCTTGTGTTACAGATCGCCAAGTTCTCGTCAAAATGACTTCTATTTCATTTGTTTGAATGTTAAAGCCTACTTCTCTTTTGACACTCAGAGTGAAGCAGGAATTATATTTGACAAGTTTCTTGCCATCGTAAACTGAAAAGGTTTCTTTTAATTGCGTTGACATATGTGCCACTATACTGGTAGCCGTCGGAGCCCTGGTTACATCTGGAAATGTTACCGTACTGTTCTGCATTACTAGATATGGAATACGAGTTACCACAGCCCTAAAATGTCAAAAAGAGATATGCCCTGATTCATTCGTTATGAAACAAATTCAACTGCATATTTTAATCCATCATCAAATTGTGCCTCTGGTTTTTAAGGACACCGGACAACGCATCATAGATGATTCCTTTCAAGTCAGACGATATGTAAGTGCATATATAGATGTAAATTTACCCATTGGCTCCAATATATTCCTCTGGTTCTCGTATTGCGATGGTCCATTTTGAATCTGAAAATATAATAAATAACAAAACTTTATAACACGTCCTTAATTTGTCAAAACAAGCTGAAATATTTTGAGGAATGACCGATCTCGTTGGGTACCATCGTCTAGTTGATCCACTGTTCAGATGGAAACAAACCTAATAAACATTGAAAGCAAGTAAATTTAACTGAAAATGGACGCCAATACCCATAACCATTGAAACATAATCTAACCCATTCAAGATATTCACAGCCTAAGCTTCAGTTTCAGAACCGTGAACTAATCAAGTATGCCTATGCAGAAAAAAGCTTTCCGCTGCAGTGGGTTAAGCCAAGTTTTATCATGCGCACTTGATAAAGGAGCACCGTCCTGTTCTTTTTTGAAACCAGATAGCTGTTGGATTAATGTCAAGTTTATTTCATTGAATTGTGGGGTTCTTGACCTTTGAATGGGAAATGTGAGTCTCATACCAAATTTTGTCCACGAAGATTGCAAGATGGTGGTTAAAGTTGTAATTGTTGTACTAATTCTTCCAGTAACTGATAATGAAAATAAGTTCTCCTCCTTGGTAAAGCCATCCATTAAGCTCGTAGAAACTACTGTATAATTCTGACCAGCTAATGATGTAAAGTTTGAAACCAATTGTGTAAGTTTTCTCTGTTTTTCAGCGCTAACCACTTTGCCATTTCGTCTTACAATAAACAGCTGTCTCCATATCTTTACACTGGAATAGGTACAAATACAAATTCAACATCGTTCGATGATATACAAAAACATATCCATTCGATGACATACGAAACACATAAAAACTCTAGCTGAAGACTCTCTTGTTGAATTGTTTCCCTTGGTGTGTTTCATTCGCATTGAAGATAAGAAGATAATTTTCAATGGACAACCAGCGAGCAAATGAATTTTTTTCATTTTAAACATATTAAATTACATCGTTTTAAACGAACATACATCTTATGTTATAACGAATCTGTACTAAACTCGACGCCAAAGGTCAAGTAGGCCTAATACATACATTCGTGCAGTTTGCAATTACATATATATACATACCCAGGATTTTTTATACTAAGGAAGCTTGTTTGGCTTCTCCATTCCACTTCGGTGTTGTTAAATTCTTTACCTATAAACGTTGACAGGAATGTCAAAAATCTAAGTTACATATTTAGAAAATAAACATTCCACTATTTCTCAAGCCTCAACAAAGCAGATTTTCGACATCGAATATAAACATGAATTAATTTGAAATCAATATTTTGTTTGAAATTGTATGTTGAAACCCAATTCTCACCTGGCATTAAACGTCCTAGTTCTGTTTTAACAGCTTCCTTAAATAATGTTCTATCAACTCTATATACAGCCTGAGAAACATATACTTGGAAGGCAGCTTCTAACTTAAATGATTCTTCTACTTCCATAACTTTATAATTCGTACCGACTGCTGTACTAATAACTATAGTATTCTTCAATTCATTGTATGAAAGTTCATTATTGTACAGTGTTATTTGTTTTTCACTCTTACTAACTATATACAGTAGCTTAAACGATGTCATTCTGTAAAAGAACAAATAAATAAATAATAGAATTACATGACAATGATTTCTTAGTCTTACTTAAAATGTTGTTTTGAACTAACGATTTCGAGTGATGATTTATGTAAACATATACTAACCCAGTTTCTGCTATAACCTCTTGTTGACCAGCAATCGTAATATTGACCGTTTCTGAAAAAAGCAGTATTTTTTGAAAGTATTTTTAAGTTGTATTCTGCTAATTGAGTCAGTCATTTTTTCTTTGTTCGTCGTCTCTGTGAAAGCATTTCTTAATTCGACTCAAGGTAGAATACGCTAATAACAATAGGTGTCACAAAATATCCAATGTGGCACAAAGAATTTTTACTTACCATTTCTTGATAACTTCCAACTTGATATTAGAGCAGTTTCAAATTTAGAATAAAAAGTTTCTATAATTCTTTGTGTAAAATATACACTATATGTCTCTTTATATCTGATGATTTTTGTAGAACTATCTGGTCGGGAGGTTATCAGATCTTTATAACTATTTCCTGTATCAGTATAGTTTACATCTAAAGCAAGTCTGTAGTCGGTTTCATTCAACTCCTCTTGATAGTTTGAATCTATGTGGATGGTGCTACTTGACTTTACAGTGTAAGATACTTGCCACATTGACGATCTAAAATTAAAATTGGGGGATGGGTTACAAACCTATCATAAACTGAGAGCTGTACTTCCGATCATGATAATACTCGTATTCTTAATGAAATATAATAGTTCATGCATCATTAACACTGTTATACTGAGGTATGTACGTGTGCATGTATAAAATATGATGAATTGGATGCAAAAATCTGAATAAAATAACGATTTCAAGACCCAAATATTACCTGGATGACACATCAACAACTTCCTCCTGTGATACAATAACAACACTACTAACTTCTTTCTCTAAAATTATAGATAATAAACAAAATAAAGCATATATAAATTTATACAGTTGACGTCTGTAAATAAGACCATTTTGTCAAATAACTGTAAGTCAATAAATATTTATTTAACATTCTATATTTTTTTAACGTATTTTTTAATCGTCTGATGAACTGAATGTCTCAAAGAAAAAATAGTTCCAAATTTATTATGAATATAGACATAAATATTCTTGACCACAAAAGAAACCGCGTACTGTAAGAGATTTCTTTCACACAAGATATCAAGCTGATGTGGTTTTTTTTTTCAACATGTACACAAAAGGCGAGCAAGTTGGAACCCTACATTTAATCCTTGTGTTAGCTAAAGAACGCTTTTGTGGGTGACGTCGTGACCATTTCTTGTAAATTAAACATGTTCTCAGAATACCAATACATTTTTAAACATTGTCATAACATGTATACCCATTTTCCATTATATTAAACGTTTCGAGCAACAAAACAGCTTACTTAGATACCACGACCATTGTTGTTGAAGATTAGATTGAATTATGTCTATATCTGGAAGAAGCACAGGACTTTTTAAAAATACAGTAAATAATGATGAATATTGAACTATTTCTGTTGTTTTAACCAGTTTATATTCACCAATAACCAATACATCAATCAATACTTGTAGATGAATCTTGTCCACTGGTAGTTTTGGAAGTTGATTAGATGGTAGTTCACCTTGAGTCATATTATCTCTAATCTTATGAAGGTAGTAAACTAATTTATATACTGATTTTCTGTTAAAAAAACAAAAAGGTTTCATTGAAAATATATTTCTTTTTACGTCCATGTATATGTACACGAATCAGAACTGTCAAAAACAAAACTTAAGCTTCCCCAGTGTTTCAGTCATAGTGAAGACCGCTTCACTGATCACAATAAACTTTGAAATGTGTACTTACCCGCTGATATCCAAATATTCTTCTTGCCGAACTATTTCAATTTTTATATCAAAATCAATTTTAAATTTCCATTCTGCTAAAAAAATAAAATCAAAGAAAGTATATGAATTATGTAAAATGTATGTATTTTTTCCAGAGTGTGAAATATACAAGGCCGGTGATCATGATAACAGAACCGAATTAAATTAAATACATTTCCGTATGAAATGATAAATTTACAACCTCACCATTTAATACCAAAGATTTTACCTCTAATTGCTCGAGTCCAGGAGAGTTCTAGTACATGCTGAAATGTTTTAAGATCTTTATGTTTAACAGGTCTGTCTATGAATTGTTCTAGACTGTACGAATAGTGTACATCATGTTCAGTTATTTCTCGATCAATCAGTGTGTATTCAGCCTTTGCTCCCTTTATTCCCATCGAATTAATCTCTTGTTGAATGAGTGTGATGTTTAGATTTCCTCCCTGTCCGGGATAAGCTTGTACACCATTAAATGTTGTGAATGCTGATAATTTCTGATACAAAGACCTATAATAACATTTGACACATTATCGGTCAGACCAGGTTAAATCAGAAAAGATAGTATAATTTTCCAAAATGATTTACAGCCATAACCATAAGGCCAAATTATTGAATTAAATAATCCAAAACGTCAACCTATCAAATAGATATAGTGAATTATGTGGTATCAGAGTGAGGGATGCGGGACTGGCAATATAAAAAACCAAATACTAACGATCATAGCCGCAATCCAATGGATTATTGCAGAGTGGAGATTGGAGAATGTTTTACTGAAATCAAGACAAATACATACCCTTCAATATCCACAACTTGCGTAACTTGTGGAACTATAACACTTATGTTGACGGAAACTGGAATAATTAAATATCGGTAAAAGTGACATCAGTGTTTCACAATAAGTACCAACATAAATGGTTAAGCTCTTGTAGAACAGAATACTTGATTGGTTGGCTATTCGAAAGGCCTAGAACAAATGCTGTGCAACAGTTTCCTCACATCGTGGATCAGTGGATTCACCAACAAACAAAGCATCGATTGTTCCAATTAGATTTTAATCAGAAAGTCTTAACATTTTCAGTAATATTCTTACGTAGCTGACCTTCCACATCAGATATACATATCGCAGGGAATGCTACAATGTTCTATTCACCAAGAAAATATCACATGGATCCATTATAAATCTTTATGAATAATTTAACAACATTACCAGATTTTCGAATATATCGATATACTGCTTGCTGAAAATGTATCAGATCGGTCTGTCTGACTGGTGTAGTGAGGTATAAACTATAGGATTTTCTAAGATCAAGTATCATTGTTGTATTGTCTTCAATCTGATATTCTAAAAGATTTTGGTGGAGAGTTTCTTGAAGTGAGGTTGCGTTGATACTTTCAAGTCTTTTAACATCTACTGTTACATTTAAACTTGTCACTTTAAAAACGGTCTGCCACAGACTCTTTCTGTAAGACAAACCAAAAATGTTAAATTCAGTTTGGTCCAGATCAAAGAAGTAAGGAAATTTATCTTTTTTCTCATTGACAAATTGTCACTGTTGTTTCACAAAGGAAGAGAAAAACATGAAACCAGCTAATCACAAACTGCATAAAAAAGGATTGCTTATCATGAAACTAACATACCCTTTAATGGTAAGGAATTCCATCTGGCGTAATATTTCAACATTAGTGCAACAATCTATAATTAAAAATATAATCTGTAAAATATAGTTTGAGTACAGTGGTGTAACCTATTTTCGTGGATATAAGGATTCAACAAGTTAAAAAAACGAATTTTTTTTTATGTCTTAGATGTTTCCTCAGATATTCTACCAAATAATTAAAATTGGTTTATTTCGATTTTCTTTATGAATCCTTCACTTTGACCCATATTTCATGAGCAACCAACTCGGCAACGGCAGCAGAATGCGTCACCTAATTTCGTGTACAATGTTTGATCTATAAATAAGTCTAGAAAAACACGTTATATGGATACCGGGTGGTATAATTAACTTCTCTTAGTATTTATCTTTAATATCAATTCATTTAAACTAGTGACAATTCCTTCAAAGAACCACGATTTAAAAAAAAAATAGTGACTGACAAAATAAGATACGTAGCGTGATTTATTGCTAAAAGTCACTGAAACAACATAAGAATATGGTCCACTTTGTGTTCCATAGAAATTTTCTGCTGACACGGAATCCCCTAGTTGATCACGTGACTTCATTCGTTGGACTACATTCTAGCAGGCGACACTTGGAATTCCGATTACCGCTTGGGATAATAAGGAAATTTCGTTCGATAAAAAATGGTGACGTTTGGTAATAAATGAAATCCGCCATTTTGTATTTGTCAAAGCATACATTAATACATTTTACCCTGCTTGAAACTACTGAATTCATTCTACCAGCTGATATTGTAGAGAAAACCCATGTTTATCCAAACAAACTAATGCGGAGGTCGCGCAAGGTCTCTCATGTCAATTATTAATCCTTTCCGGAAATCCACGAATAATAGGTTTCCACGAAATTAGATTACTTGACTGTATATCCAATAGTACTGCTTCTGGTTTACAGTTAGAGGTATTTCTAAAATTATTATTGTTTTTACAATCTGTTAAGCAAATATACAGGATAAAATAAGGTCAGAACTTACTTTCATTTTTAGTTATCAGTACATCTAAAATAGCCTGTTCTGTCACCTCTCTGTGATCAAATCGTATTCCACGATTGAGGTAAATCGAGAACGTAGAATCGATTCTGGTTGACTCTGTTTCTGTTATTTTTATCATTTCATATGATGTTGATTTCTTAACCAATACATTCTGAAGAACTTCAAATTCTACATCCACTGAAATCTGGGAACTGACCAGAACGTTACTTTTATACAGAAAATATACCAATTTGAATCTTGTTATTCTGTAAATATATCAGTATCTCATTAGTTCGACAGAGAAATTTACCAACATTTGGCCTCGGCAAACGTTTGAATTCATCCAAATTCTGTCAGCAAGCAATCGTTGAAAATCCAGTTGTTCCCATATTTCAAAAGCTGCAATTCGATTTGAGCCACACTCTCCGGAATTATTATCAGGAAATGATGAGTTTGTGCTTTTCACTTAACTTACCCATTTCTGTCTACAACTTCTTGCATTCCTTTGATTTTAATTGAGACACAGTTACAGTCTTTATATTCTGAATAAAACAAATATAATTTATCATATAATGAAATTCACAAACCAATGGATGCAAATTTGTGAAAACGGTATTAAATGCTTGTATAATATGGACAATAGATATTAAATTCCAGGAGCGTTTATCCTAGTAGTGAACTGGGGTAGATCGTTTCTGATTGGTGAATTTGTATAAATCGAAAACAAATAAAAAATGTATTCACCAGTGTGATTGTTCCAAAAAGAAACCAAAGCATCTGTTAATATAGACCAATGGGTTTCACTCACATTCTTCTTAAAGAAGAGTACAAAACGATCTTTGTAACTATAAAGCTGATCTTTTTTGAATTGGAGTACGTTAAAATTAAGATTTAAACTTGTGTTTAGGTAAGCTGAGTACAGATCCATGGCAGATAATCCATCAACTGTTGCTGGTACAATATACTCCCCTTCTGATTTTATATAAAATTTCACTTTCCATACACTCATTCTGAAAAATATCACAATGCAATGTTAATAATTTAATGACGAATAGGCCACAACACGTCACACAATACCAAATATAATATCTTAATATTATTATACTTGTCCAATGACATATCTATTTAGCTCACCAAATGTACTTACGATGTTTCTGTCAAAACTTCTTCTTGTTGTAGAACATCTATTGATAGCTTCTGACCTACAATATTGACGATGATAGACAATTACTATACTGTATTCGAGCAACAAAATTATGACAATAGCCGATTACCGTTCAGGCGAAATATCGTATGTATAGTATCTAAATTTTCATGGGATATTGAGGTGCCAATCTACAAAGTTTGGACAAGAATTTGTTCGTAACGTAACCGTGAAACTTTTGATGGAATGATCAGAAAACCTACTTACCTGTCATATTGGATGATACGGCGGATTTTATAAATTCTAAAAATTGTACTTTAGTTGAGGTAGTTAATGGCCGGTGAATGACAATATTGAACAAAGTTTCTTCTCGTATCAAATGTGAAACTTTAGATAATACTTTGTAATATTGTCCCCTGGGGTTGATAAGTTTTAAATTTGTTGAAATATAGTCTAAGATCTTTTGGTAACCGTAAAGTCTGGAATCGACTACTTCTCCATTATGTGTCAGGAAATACACGAGTTGATAGACAAATTTTCTGCAAAAATTAATATTTTGCATAAGGTTTCCATGATAGAATCTGAAACAGGCTGGGGAGGTTAAATTTCTTAATGCTCGAAACAGGAGAAGATTGGTGACATGCGACAAAGAAAACAAGCTATTTTTATCACGGATTTCCCTTTATTTTATTTCACAAACTACAACGAAAATTTTTCAAAAATTCTATGGGCAAAAAAGTGAAAAATTTGAAAGCAAGTCAACTTTATTTTATTATACAGTGTTAACTTACCCTTCCATATCGACCATCACTTTTTGTTCATGAATCTCAACTTCTGTCTGGTTAAAATTCATTTCTGAAATTTAAAATCGTATACACGAGCATGTCTCTCTTGATAATACATATCTCAAATGATTAAGGGGAGTTATGAATAATCAAAATCAAAATCATTGTTCAATAAAAAAAAAATGAAAAAGAAGAAATCAGCTGTCAAAAAAATGACGAAATACACTCACCTTTCCAATGATCGTACCAAGTCTTTTTTATGAATTCTTTGATAGATACGAATCCTGATTGCGACACCATGGTAGTAAAATATAAAGGAAAATGCATAGCGTATTCTCGTAGTTTGAATGTTGAAACATCTATAAGTTTATATTTGACTCCACTTGGCGACTGTATATTTGATATAGATTGTTGAAGTAAATTATAACTGGTTTTATCAATATCTACAGTTGTTATATCTAGTCTAGTCGAATTCAACATTATTTCATAATCCAACTTCCAAACTGATTTTCTGTAAGAAAGAAATGACCAATCAAAGGAATTGCACAGTGCTAATGATGCTTCAGCAACAACACTTTATAGGTTTAAATTAGTATAATTTATCAATTAAAACGAGGTTAGCAATTTAGATATTGCATATATACCAATCATGTTCTATGTTTAGCATATAAAGAGTATATTTGCAACATTTAAGTACATACTTCAGGGTGCTACTCCATTCAGAATATCGCCAGAACTTAAATTTCAGATCGCCAACAATACCTGAAAATATTCAATTAAAGCAACAGTTCAGATGTACTCAATTTGAAGGACAAAAGAAAATTTCCAATTACTTTCTGAAAGAGCCATCTTGAGACTTGAATGAGTTGAATAAGATTTTAAACAGGAAATTGAAACACGATGTTTCCATCTGAACTTCTTCACAGCCTAGTGATGAACCTTCCCGAGCTTTTTGCATTTATGCACTCTGTTTCGAGGTTTGAGTTTAAGATAAATTGCGAAATGATACCCTGATTGGAACATTTTTTATAAGGGAGTAAATTAAGGGAGATATCCACCCCAGACGATTGTCATTACCTAATTTCTCAAAGGTTTTAGACCAAGATGCTGTTAATGATGTTTTAATGTTAGTATATGTTGACTGAGCTATAAAAGAGTTGAAATATAAAGAGTGGAAGAGTGATGTTGATCTGTAATCTATATTAGTGGTATCAACAACGTTCACTTCGTAACCAGTCGATGTTTTATGCTTCAAATATTTATTTAACAGTTTCCATTCTGGCCAGGTTACCAGACTCGCGTCAATTGGTCTACCATTTACATTCACTTGATACTCTACTTTCCATGTTGATTCTCTAGAAAAGGAATTAATAATTTATTTAGTTATTTAATTGTAATGTCGATACATAAACTCAAGGTGACGTTCTACTTGTGTCGGACCCGTAGTGATTGATCCATCTCCCTCCTCTCTTGCCCTCTGTAGTTAGGGTATGCTTTCGTCCCAGACATTTGTATTCATTTGAGCTCAGTTCTATCTCTTTTATACTGTGGTCAGAACTGCGACGAATTAAAAAAAAATCCACCACTTAGCATCTTCATAATATTTCGTTTTTCATTTTTGCATACTAAGCAATTCGTTAATAATATGACAGTTCCAAACTTTATTTTCAAATTAAACATGAACTCACCCTGTTGCAGAAATTTGTTCTTGTAGATTCCAGATTTTAACACCTAAACAAGAACAGTTTTCGTATTCTGTAAAAATAATAACATAATGTGATACAAGAATCAGTGTATTTGATAGTGAATGTTTCCAATTATTTCAAGCATTACTTAAATAAATAGTTGTAAACCAGCTTATTTTGAAGTAAGTCAATACTTCGAGTAAATAAGAAATAATAGGTATTGTAAATATACAGATAGTTATCCATGAGCTAATCATGATTATGATGCTACACTTACCAGGATTCAACTCTTTGAAGACCTTTGTCAATTGCGTGGCAATGTTATTTTCCAAATTAATCTTAGTTACTTTATGTGACAGTGCAACTGAAAACAACATGGACTTCTTCTGGGTTGTATTGGATGACGACACTGAGACAGTTTTACCATATTTCGTTTTGATTTGTAAAAAGTGTTGAAGATATGAGTAATCTATTTGTTGTTTTAATTTTTCGACTGAAACACTTGATCCATTAACAGCCACGTGGTATGTCAGCTCCCAAGCATGATGTCTGAAGTAAAGCAAAGAAGATATAGATAGTTGTTCGGGACTGATATGTCAGTTCCTGTTGCTACATACAGTTTTTATGGTGTGCTTATTTCATTTTTTTTTATTGATTTTCCGCTTTGTTTTCAATTAACGAACTTATCTGAACAAAGGGTGATCAGACCAAGAATCGATGTGAGATTAACATTGTATAAAATTGTGAAACCTTTTTCATACTGAAATCTCATTAAACTGATAGGTACCTACCCGTTAGCACTTATAACCTCTTTCATTGGACCGATTGTTACTGTAACATTGGATTCAGCACCAATATCTGAAAATTGCCAGTAAGCAAGTTTAATTTAAAAGAATTCATTAAAGGTCGATCAAGTTAAGGAACAACAATTAGAATGATTATAAGTTATTACGAATACACTCGTATAAGAATCATGAATCGATTAACTTGTTGCTTGTTTTTTCTGTAGAATCAAGTTCTGATATGAAGTGAATAAGAATCATCTCCGTTACTGGACTGCCTACAATGCCTACAGCTCGGTACCATCTTGTTTGTTTTAGTGTAGTAATAGCTATATACCTAATGATTATATGAAAGAGTAATGAAGATTTGACCGTTTCGAATACAACTTACTTGAAATGTTTCTGAAATACATCTCTAGCGCCGATTGGAATTTATATTTGTCTTCTCTTTCAATCTTACTGTTAACTATTAAACCAGCAAAACTGGAGGTGGATATCAAAGATGAGCTTGTTTTAGATGTGGTTGATGATATTTCATATTTCCCGTTAATTGTTTTATTGTGAATCTCTATTTGAAGATCTGATGGTTTGAGAGGTTTGGTTGCTTCCGGGCGTAAAGTATTACCATTTACTTCAATGTGATATCCCAGTTCCCACGACGATTCACTACAAGGTATAAGGTGAATTTCATGTATCTATGAAATATGTGTCACAGCAGTGCGTTTTGTTCATTCATTGAATAAGGCTCTACATAAATGGCCAAATTCGTAATTTTTTGGGGAGGGGGGGGGGGGGGGGGGGGTTTATTTTGGTTTTAAAAGCCCCCAAAACCCCCAATTTTTTCCAAAATTTCCCC